AGTGTATTTCATTTTAGCACTGAACTGGAATATGTTGTGTTTTAATACACTGTCAAACAAGTATTACTACAACCCACACACTCAATGTAACATAATGAAAAACAACAGGAATTAACATACTACATCTCTCTCAGCAAGACCTACTAAAACCTGAGTACCTACTCTATTTATTTGAATGGGCAAAGTTACTCAAATTAATCAAACTAACATGGGCAACATTTCAGCACTGTTCAATACAGCTTACTAATACACTGTCAATAACTGAGGTGTAATGTGAGTCCAAGTCTGTTCCATCATTTCCTATATGCAGCAAGAGTCCAAATGTGCACTGAACACAAAAATGAACATAATATTATTCAGAATATCAAAACATGACTCCTGTATTCTAAATATCATGTCAGACATCACATTGTCTGTTGAGTATTTAAATATTTCTGTTGTCTGTTGCAACAACTAAAACCAACAAGAAGTGGGTAAACCCTACAGATCCCTACAAAAGTGGTCTCTTATCATTTCTCCACAAGACCCACCCTCCACATTAAACTGCTAGCTAATCAAAAGATTATGTTAAATGGACAGGGATGTTTTAGAAAAGCAGCGTGTTGTTGGAATTGCATTCTCTGGTGCATAATTTCAGAATTTAGAGGGAGCACTCCAGCAATTTTGTACTGCATAAAGTTGGAGGACTCACAAGAGACAACCTTTAAAAATGTATCGTCAAAATCAAAGCAACAGAGGCTGAGATATCCAAAAATGCTGGATTCTACATTTCCCATAATGCATTCCCATAACACATTTTCATAACACCCTCCATTAGACCTCCCTGCCTTTTCAATATCCACTTCTTTCAAACCCCACACTTCTGGTTTTGTAATACACACTCTAATCTAAAATCTAATGTCATCATCAGGTTTTTATTTGTTTACATTATCGTTTTTTGTTTTCAAACTTTGAAAAGCTCCTTCCAGAGCCACAGTTGTTTTCCAGATATTTCCAGATATAGTACTTATTGTGGTGAGTAAACAAATATTCATGTGTAATGGAGTACCACTTTAAATATGTAATAGTTTAACCACATTGAAATATTTAGTTGCTAAGTGTATTTTGAGGTTGGTTTGCAGCATATATAGCTTATTCTCAGAAATATAAGAAGAGATATGATGTTGCTCACTGCTCAGTGGTTAGTAACTGCCACTGGAGTCTTGACATTTTTCTCAGTTGGTGAGAAGCTACTGAAAATTGCCTATTATATAATATTTTCAGCCCCAACTTTAAGAAATTAAGAGGGAAGAGGAAGACGGCACTGCACCCACTTCTGCTGGGATTTCCCAACAACAAAAAGCTTCCAAAACTTTTTTATATGGATTTCCTTGGGTGGGGGGGGCAGAGATGGATGCAGTTCTTTTTCAGCCAGACGCTAATTTGGGTTTACACTGATTAAGCTGTCCATCGTACTGCCAGGAGAGCTCTGTGTATGTGTGATCCACTGTGTGCCTGGGCGTATGTGAGCAGAATCTCTAAAGCTTAAGGGGACACCATCAGCAGTGCCGGTGATTCACAGGGAGGGTGACATGAAAGAGCCACTGACACTGTGGGATTACAGATGGGAGAGGAAACCTCCCCGTTCTGTCAACAATTAACAAGGGGATAACTGCAAAACAAGCTTGGCGATTCTGTCGTCAGCTCAGTCCTCAGGTGCGCAGAGGGAAAGCAGCTAATTGATTGTAGAATTGAAAATAGAATTGAGTAATGAGGCATGATGAGGCAGTGTTTTTGACTTCTGCCAGCACTTCATCTTGTTTCCTCACATGAATGAAGGCAAAACATTTCGCACACTGTTACTGTAGCATCTTGTTAAGAACTGCTAAGAATTGCACTGATGGTTGCTTTGAAATCCAGTCATGGAAAATGATGGGAAATGTCATCATGATCCTAACATGATGACAAAAAAACTGATATGATAAGTTCAGACATATCCAATAAATTGCACCATAACATGGAACTCAAACCTAAAAAAGGGAATCTACAGTGCTGTGTAATATATTTTCACTCCCCATAATATAATATAATAAGATAACATATGCTACCTATTGGCAGTTTGGCCTCTCATAGTGGCTTAATAATCTCCATATCAAGTGTTAGCCCTGTGGGTCTTAGGTTGTGAACTCTCACTAAGCTGACAAGAGCAGCTTTTGACCCTCAACCCTGAACCAACAGCCAGGCTGCTCATGTCCGAAGGGAGACAGTGGCGAGACAATGATCCCTCGCCCCTGGCTTTGTGCTGTCACAACATACACACCACTACATTATGTTTACTTGATTTCCTTATTAGCAAAGCACTAGTTTCTTCTTTTAGCCTACTTTAATTGAGTTTGGTGCGGTTCATCTTACACTCACTTTTTACTACTGTCCCTGTAAATCTGAAGCTGATTCAGATATTGCTCCATGGTCCTAATGTCCTTGAAAACACTTACCACTAAAGGTAGAAAGTGAGTCTAGCTACACTACATACTGCTCCATAGGTTTATTATTTAACATCAAATAAAGGTGTTGTTCCAACCAACAAAAGGCAAGCAATGCTCACACCTGTGGAATAACTCATGTGAGCACAGGCAAGAGACACAATAAAAGCGTAGGCTTATTAATGACAAAAAGTATTTATAATGTAGCCTAATACACTACGCTGTACAAGCCAACATAATTGATCGACGATATTATATATTCAAGAATACCTGAAGACACACCCAAGTATTTGTTTAACAACTTTCTTAAAGGAATAGTTTGACATTTGGGGAAAGGCTATATTTATTAGCTTTCTAGTGGCGAATTGGATAAGAAGATCAGTACCACTCTCATGTATGTTTGCTAAATACAAAGCTACAGCTAGCAGCTAGCTTAGCTTAGCACAAACTGGGGAAACAGCTAAGCTGGCTCTGTCCAAAGGTAACACAATTCACCATACCAGCTCCTCTAAAGCTCACTAATAAATATGTTATATCTTGTTTGATTAATACATACAAAAACCAAAGCCAGGGTTATGGCAGCAGTTGCCAGACAAGCAGTGAAGACTCCAGGAAGAATGAGTCACATAAACACCAGCACAACCAAAGACGTTTTTTACGCTTTAGTTTTTGGTTCCTGTCAGGACCATGCAGTAGCCTACGTTCTTGGGAGCAGCCCAAGAACGTAGGCTACTGTGTGAAGGCGTTACAAAATAACTTTGGCCTAGACATAAATTGATAAATATTAATAATATTTAAGTAATTAAGTAACATTTCTATACAACTTCTGCAATATGGTGGACATAAAGTAGGCCAATTCATACTTTCATATCTTTCATATATAGGCTATGAACCACCATAACCATCAACACAACCAGTGAGTTTGACTGTGCAACAGTTCACAGCACTCTCCATATCTTCTTACGACTATAGAAATATGAACAATATAATCAATTTAATTACACAAGAGTGAATAAATCTGAGCCAATACAACTGCAGCTAATCAATATAATAGCCTTCAGATGCCGCTCAAAATGAGTCTGATGAGGAATGCAGAGTAGATTGTCGCTGGGAAAACCCATCTTGATAGGGCATGCACCGGCATACCACTTGAACACAAGAGTGAAGATGCTCTTTCCAGCCACATGGAAAGGACATTATGCTTATTTTTAGACTAAATTGTGAGGGTGGGCACAGGTGAAACTGGATTTAAATAAAGGTAGGCCTATCTCATTTAAGATTTTAGGGCTTGTGGCATTTTTTTTTCTCTAAAAAAGGTCAGTGAGTTTCAGTTCAGATTTTAGCTTAGTCTCAGCGTGTGAGTAATTTAGCCAGTAGCACAAATGTTCCCATGCATTAGATTACAACACAATCATGGCTTAGAAAATCAATTTGTCTGATGCGGAGCAAGCAGCTGTCAAACGCAAGTAGGCTACTGTAAGAGAATCAGTGGTCAGCTTTATGCACAAAAACACTACAAACGTCGACTGAGAACCTGAGAGTCAGTGTGGTATTAGTTGACCCCTTCAACTCACTCTCATAGTGTGCTGTTTTACAATTTTTTCAGCCGCTGGCAGTCCTCTCAGAGCAGCCGTCATGCGTTACTTTTTTTCCCCGTTAAATGCCAGCCACTGCGTCTGTCTGCACCAAAAACAACTCGCTGCTCAGAAGCTTCGACTGAACAGCTATATGGACTAGATAACCTGCGCGCACCAGTGTCACATTTTACTACTACTGCTACATGTCACAGATTACGCGCAGGGACGTAGGCCTACACCTTGAGCATCCCCGCGCTCCCCCAGCGCATCGGTTTGCATATGGCCAAAAAGCGGATTTGGGGACCAAAGATGTCGAGCGTCGCAGAGGAATCGATGACATCATGTCTGTGGAGGGAACATGTAGTTTTGTGAGCAGTGAAAACAGATGCTCGTCTGGCCTGTAGTTGCAGAGTTGAAGTATTTGATGGGGAGGGGGGGTTAGTCAAGGCGATCGTGTGCGGTTTGATGCACTGTGATGTGAACGCCGCGCCTGACACAGACTCAGAACTCAGACACGCGCGCACACACACACTTTCAGCTAGGCTATTACCTGTCCGTCTTTGAACAAATAGCCCTCTTCCCTCCCCACACAAGCGCAATGGCGCACTGTGATGAAATAATCACAGCGGTGCAATTTCTGTGCAGCTGTAGCAGTTTGTTCAGGGCACATTTTGGCTGAGAGCATTAAGAATTGTTGCAAACCGTTTAAGATGTAACAAGGTGTGTTGGAAATGCAAATGCAGGCATGTGTGACACCAAATAGTGGAGACTGTGCAGCGAGCGTAACGGCATCACCACGGAGCTGATTTTCACCCCAGTCATGTCCACAACAACGGGTTATACCAGGTGACAGTCAAGAGGAGGTTAGAAGGCTGGAGTGAATGGATAGAGTGAGAGGAGCTGGGAGCACCGTGCTTTGGAGGCTGATTCTTTACAAGGCAAAACTTGAAGTTTGTCTTACCTCCACACTTGTCCCATCTGAAAGATGTGTATGACGGTCTGCCAGACCCAGACAGAGAGGCGGCAGCACCTGTCTCTTTGCAGACTGGCTGCTCTTCGACTACTCAGCCCCTCCACGGAGCCCAGTCCGCCCCCAGTGTAATCCTGCACAAACCACCTGAAGCTCAGGATCTGGACCAGAACCGAGGGCACCAGCACGAAGAACAGGGTCAGGCCTGACCACAGGAAGTCCTGCTTGTGGTAATAGTCGATGGCCAGCCATAAATCGGTCCCCACGTCCCAGAAAAAGACCAGCAGCGCCAGGATGATCCACAGGCAGTCCAGCCAGAGGCGCTCCTCCTGCGGTGGCCGCGCCGCATCTCTCCCCTTCCCCTTCCCCTTCCCCCGGAGGTAATGCAGGCAGGCGCTCCGGCAGCCCCAGTAGCACGACGAGGTGTTGCAGCAATGGCAGATGTGGAATGAGCTGCCGTTCCGAGTGTCGTCCTCTCCCGTCCCCACCACCTCGTCCAAGTTGTGCAGCTGGGCGAAACCGGTGACGACCCCGCGACCATCGGATTTCGCTGCCATCTTTCCCTCTGATGTTCCCACCTCCTCCGGCTTCCGGGGTTCGTGACGACACTTCCCTGACACCTGTTTTGCACCCCAAATGTTGGAGCCATCTAAAAGCGGGGTGTCAGCGCGTCTCCGTCGCTCACTCTGTCCCCAGACAGCGCACCAGTGGCGCCACAGACGCAGCACATCTTGTCTTGCTTTCCCTCCTCTGCAGATCTATTCCCACCTAGTTACAATAATCTAATCTACAAGTTCTGACAATTCAATTCCTAACTCATGCATCCAACTGTGGTCGACCAATTATTACCTGTGCATTAATCTCATTCCCCGCTGTTCAGTTGTTTCCCTTCTCTGCAGCTCTCCTCCAGCTGCAAGCTGAGTGCCATGAGCAGACCGTTCCTCCGCTGTCCCACGCCGACGTAATCCATCCCCCCCAACCCCTCTCTCTCTCTCTCTCTCTCTCTCTCATGCACACAGACACACACACCACACACACACACACTCATTCCCTCTCACCGTGGTTGCCATCTAGTGTCTTGTTTGAAGCCCCCAAATATGCAGCAGAGGAGGACTGCATGATGCAATGCAACATACCTCATCACCACCAAAGGAAGTCTTTCCTGTTGTTTGAACATTTGAATCAGCCACAGTGACACAGTGTGGGGTCACTTTTTGTAGGCGAAGAAGGAACCAAATCAAAAGCTCTCCTACTGACGAAAAACCATCCTGCAACGACTTTTATTGCTCTGTAAAGACTTTCTAGTGTCCTTACTGTTTTTTTTTTAGTATTTGTATCTCCTTGTATGAGTTTGATGTTCCTATTGCCTATTATCAGCACTGGACATGTTTAGTAGGAGGTTACTTGTGAAATGAATATGATTTTGTAAGAGAATAGTCATTTCTACCATAACAAGTAATTTCCAACTAAACAATTGGAAGTTAACAATTTAAATGGCATGACAAAGATTTAGCTAGCCAGCCTGTACACACCATGTCTTCCGGAGAAAGACAATTTATTTGTAGGCAACTCTGTAGTAGACCTCTCATACCCATATGTTCTTTCCCCGTCATTATAATATACCTTACACATAAAAAACACACTCTTTGTGTGTACTTTATATGATCACAGTTATTATAAATCTAGCACAACTAACGATATTGCAAAGTCATTTTTTTAGTTATTATTGAAAGCTATCACAGAAATGGCCATACTACATGTCATGGTGAATTGTTAATTTTTTATTGGCATCCAGGGCAATATAGCGATACAAGTGGCATGACAAAAAAGCATGCTATAGGTAGCTTCTACACCATGTCCTCTGGGGAAAGACATAATTTATCTATAGGTGAATCTATAGACCTATAGACTGGTTGCTAAGAGACACCATGGGTTGTCTCTCCTTCCTGCAGCATTTTTCCCCCTAGCAGTAGTCAAGGGGTTAAGCATTTGCTGAAAAGTGACGCCTTTCCCCCTCTGGTAGCATGTGCGAGCAAAGAGCTGGTGAGCCCGCTACAGGCTCAACAGCTCTGTGATTAGACTGTGCCCACAGAGCTGCCATACAGGGTCATATCCAGTGTGAGATTGATTGGATCATGTCAGCCTCACCCCCGCTGCCTGCTCTGCTCGCCTGTTCGGACGCTGGATTTGGTGGGAGCTGTCCAGTGCTGAAATCTCTTTCTCTCTGAGGACCCTCATCAACAAATCCATTACCTAAATGTAAACCCAGTTCTGCTCTTAAACCTAAAATACAGACTTAACTGTCAAACTGTCCTTTGAAGAAATAAGGACTGGGCAAAATGTCCTCACCCTCAAAGTCTAAATCCCAATTCAGTTCCATTAAAAAATATTTCATTTGGACATTAAGGGGCAAGCTGGTTAGCAAACACACAGACAAGTCAGTCACACACAAAAATAATATAAAAATACAAAACAAGAGTGTGAAAGATTAAAAAGGAGAGAGAAAACAATTAAAAGACACAAGAGTTAATGGTAGTCAGACTATCGGTATATTATGTCAGATGCACGTGCATTTATAAACATCTCTTTTATCTTGGCTGGTCACATGTTTTATTATATTCTACTTTCAAACTTGAATTTTTCCTATATAGGATGGACATACAAGAGCATACACACATATACAACACACACCGTTAGCGTTACAAGGTTCCCCTCACTGGAGTAATGTTTGAAGTGCAGCCTACTAATCATATCAGCCAATCATATCATAGTCAGCCATTTTGCTTGGTTGTGATCATGTTTGCCACTTTATTGTGATGATATCTTTAACCAGAGTGGAGCTTCCAGAGCTACATTAATTAACTTTATTATTTTTGATTGGGTTCAGTGGACCACGTCTTCTCTGGGTTCACACCAAAACACCAATATGTTTTCTCCCAGTCAATATACCTTACAATGAATAAAAAACAGTTTGTCTACTTTGTCTTATCACAGTTACAATAGACCTAGCACAAAGAATGATATAGCAAAGTTTTTCTGTTCTTTTTAGGTATTACTGAAAGCTATCTGAAATGACCACAGCCTATAAAATGTGGTACTGTATGTCCCAGCATGTCTGGTACAAATACATCACGTAAGATTAGATATTTTTCAGTTTTCCTTTAGGACTAACACTTGGTCATGGTCTTGGTGAAATGTTACTTATTTATCTATGGAGGATGGTAAACAATGGGTGATGAAAAGTCACAGTGATGCTGCATGAAAAGAATCAGGTAAGTGTTTCTCCAGGCCCATATAACTGTGATTGAATGCACACAAGACAGTATAGTTGTGTGCAAGGTACCAGCACATGAAACCTGTTTCGTCTGATGAGCCTTCATTTTCTCTTCTTCCTCAGGGCCTCCAGGATGCCTTTTGAGTGGCACACTAGATGCAGAATCAGCTCTAATGTTCACAGGAGATGGTAGGCAGTTTAATGCAGGAAAAGCCTCACAGCAGTAAAAACAATCAAATCAGCTGACATCAATTCAAATTATAAAGCACTTTTTATCCAATTTGTAACAAACAGCTTTGCAGGGCAGCAAATGTGCATGAGTCATTTTTCAATAAAACAAAAACAAATTACAGGCCTAACATGAGTGTGTGAGACAGAGAGAGTGGGTGATTATTAAAGCAGACATTAAAAGAATATCAGGCAAGAATAACTCAGGCATCTTGAGGAAGAGATCAGGATGAAGGCCTGACTAAGGGGGGCGTAGACTAAATAAATCAGACTGCGTGTGTGTGTGTGTGTGTGTGTGTGTGTGTGTGTTTTCCACCCATGGACAAGGCACCTGCAGAGCTGTCGGGGCAGTGATTCCTTTTCGCTGGCTGTATTTCTGATGTAAATCCTGCATCCTGTGAGCAACATATTCAGGTAGAGCAAATCAATGATGCATTGTGGGCAAGGCTATTTTATGTTTTGTACTCCAGAGGTGTGACTCGTGTGTAATCAACACAAGTAGCAATGAGAAGCCAATGACAAGTCTATGGGAGTTTTTTTCCAGCTTGTCTGACTATTCCTGCTGCTGAGGCTTACCAAGGTGTGTAGGTCACTATACCAGACAAAGACTAATTACAGCACAAACAAATAATGTATATGACAGTAATGTAATCACTTAGTATTCGCTCACCTTCATGTTGGTGGATTACACAGAAAAGCAGAAGAGAAACTGATGTGTGTTTCCAATACTGGAAGCAAAGTTTGTAAAGAGGGAGATTTTCAGCACACTTAAAATGTAACATAACATTCAGGAGATCAGGAAAATGCTCATGTCAAATCTCATCAGAGTGCCCAAATGTATAGTTGTGCATCTACCAGTAAGGCCAAAATGGCTATAAAACTGAAAAAAATGTGTATTCTGTATTTATGACAGTGATGAAAAGTGAATTACACTCTGAATTGGCGCCAAGTCTCAAATAAAATATAAATTCTTGCATAATATGAAAATGAAAACGGAAGCACAGGAATGTAAGAAACTATGAGATTTCATGTTTTATATCCCGGTGGGGACTTTAACCTGAATGCACAGTAACTAAATGGGACTTGTGGAACCATAGGGACACAAATGTACGTCCACACGGCAAGGAGAGCTTTTTGCGTGTTAAGGCGTGGTTTTAGAGTCCAGGTTACAATTAGGTTAAGGTTAGGGTTAAGGTTTGGCATGTAGTTTTGATAGTTAAGGTTAAGGTAAGGGGCTTGGGAATGTATTATGTCATGTTCCACATGTATGTGTGTGTGTGTGTGTGTGTGTACTTCATGCCACCCTTGGATAAGTTAGCGCCTCCCTAGTCAAAAAGGTTTGGACATGCCATTGCTGTTATTAATTAGCTGTTACTATTTTGTCTCTCTCTTTTGTATTTCAGTGTGCAAATCTGAGGAATCCATGTGAAAACAGAGGCAACATATACCCTGCTATGTTTTTTGTGACTATGTTTCATTATATTTATCTCAGTTTTGGGTCTGAGAAAACCAGCTACATGTGTCCTTCGGGGAGATTCTACACTTCTTCACAGTTTTCCCTGTTGAGGTGCGAAGGTGATGATGACAGTAGCTTCAGTAGTGTCAATGCAAAACTCTTTCATGTCACAGAGACATGCCTGAACCAACCTAACCGAGCCATAACTTAAATTTACAAAAGAAAACAAAATGTGGACTATTAATGGAGTATTGAGTGAACAAATAAAGAAGCTTCTCACAGAGATTACACAACGAATTTTGGTATTAGACTCTGCACCCACGTTCAAGTCATCATTATCCAGCCATGACAGACTACTCTGATTCACTGGACATGCCCAAAATAACGACACGACAACACATAACAGTACAAACACACTGTTCAGAACAGAAAGGTTGGATGAGACATTGTCTTTATATCATTGAATGAAAAGCTTGAGTGAGTAATGGTGTAGGTGTGAGTACAAACTGTCAACGTTCCAAAATGCTCAGAGCTCGTCAATAAATGTCAAAATCTGATGTGTGACGCAAGCGAGCGTTCTGCATTCGGTTCACGCAAGACAAATTTAGAAGCTCAGTGATAACTTGGTGCACAGTTTGACAGTTACTGGTTATAATTACTCATCTCGGTCTATCAATGTACTTTTAATGGGAAATGCAACTTTGCGTGTGTGAAAACTGTATTCATATTTTTGTCATGATTCCTCTTAGGCACAGTGAGCAAAGTGTGTTTCATCAAGTGTTATCTCTTTAAACATTCAGCCGCTGCCATAAAAGTTAACATTTTATCACTGAGCCTTTTATAACGGATGCTAAAGTAAATCATTTCCTCCTACATCAACAGATTTGTCTAAGCATCCTGTTAAATAAAACATAGAGGTTAGGTTACTCTATTGTATCTTACACATGGCTGTGAAGTGAATATTTGCTTTGAAAGCAATTTTTATCAGCCCCTCTTCTTTAAAAAAAGCCATAGCAAAGCATCTTTTCCTCAGAGAAAGGGCAGTTATTTGGTTTGTAAAGCAACGCCGGGTTTCACATTCAATTGAGCCCTGGCGTCTGTACATGCATTCTCTATGAAGTGGGCTAGAAAGGCCCAGAGCAAACCATCTATTGTGAAGCCCAGACAGGCAGCAACTGAAGCAAATACTGCGCGCGCACACACACACACACACACACACACACACACACACACACACACACACACACACACACACACACACACACACACACACACACACACACACACACAGCCCTGACAAAGATGTCTCTACAACAAACAGGAACACTATAGCCTTTGCCAAGCCATCTGCTCTTCTTCTTCTTCTCTCTCCAAAAGTGTTCACCTCTTTAGGGAGTCTCCCGTTCAAGGTCAGTGTGTGTTCCTTCATGTGCTTTAAGATATCAGCAGGCAGGCCTCCTCACAATCCTAAGAACTAAAGACAAGATCTTCAGGCAACAGCTTTTATCTACCGTATTCCCCCCTTTTTTGGAATAAACCCCCAGCTGCTATTAGGGAAGCCGGCTCTCTTATGATCTAGGCTCAAATTCTATTTATTATCTATGAGTGTGAGTAGGTTTTATTTTACTTAATCAATCAATAACTTAAGTGTTTATAATGTAGGAAAGCGCAGGTTACGCTTAGCTCAGGCTTAGACTGATCTGTTGCTAACTTGGCAATAGTTGATGGAGTACATTGTCCAGCTGTTAGGATCCACATGATTCTCTACTATGGTCATTCTTAAACTCTGGTCTTTCCACTGCCCGTGGCTTCTCCTCCTCAGACAAGTTAGGTCTTCTCTGTTCCCAGGATTCTGTGCTGCTCTTTTATCTGGAGGTGTTTGGAAAAGCTGGGTCTCCAAGTTTCCCTGCCCTCTGCTTCACTAAGCTGCCCACACTGTCTACTACACATCCTCCAAGGGATTCCATTCACTGACCTCCACATTAACCCTTATTACAAACCTGGCACTGTCAAACAATCTGAAAAACTGACACTGGACTTGTTTCAGTGGACTCATTTCACTGAAATCATTCCCTAGACTTATTTTATGGGACATCTTGATATTAGATTACCTGTTTAAACTCTTTGCTTTACTTCATTTTACTGTAATTGCCATTTTTTCCAAATGACTCCTATGACATCAGAGGACATTATTGCCTTCTAGTTTCCAGCATGGTCATGACAACTTGCCTGCCTGCTGTTTTCATTGAATCTACTCAGCCTGGTTTCACTGCCTGTTCACAGTTATTTACAGGTCACCATCATCTGGCTGACCAACCAAGAGCTTTTAAATCACCTGTAGTCTGCCCAAAGAGTCTACTTTTGCATCTGGGGCAAGGTTATTATTGCTAACTAACACTAACAAAATCACAAAAATCTATGTGAAAAAACATTTTCATTTACTGAAATAAAAATAAAAATGAGGCTTTAACTAACTTAAACTGTAGGCTGATGTCTGTTTGCAAAAGTAACTAGAATACACTAAAATTAGAGAGAAGCCTAATCATTGTCAGTTTATTTTATAGGGCCTAAAATAGCCTGGGAGTTTGGGGTGGATATGAAATCTATTCTCCAATTTCTTGGCTGTGCCAGTTTGTAGTCCACGCCCCTCGCCTGGCATCATGGTGGCAAAAGTCAGGAGAAAAGGGCCCAAAAGACTAAAACCTAACACTGAAATTAATAAAAACTAAACTAAAACTACAAATAAGAAGTCACAAGGAAATAAAAATAAAAACTATCCTAATGAAAAATGCAAAAGTATAATAACCTTTGTTTGGGCCCCATTTCCTACCTTTCAATCTATGATTTGTTATCCAAATGACACACACAATCATGTATTTTTCATGATCATGCATCATGGTCATGAATTTACCTTCCAGACATCTTAAATCAAGGTATTATTGAATTATGGATCTATGCTGTTCAGTTTTTTAACGCCATAAGCCTCTCAAAAATCTTTCAATGTCACCACCTAGTGTCACGTTTTGATATTGTTAGATGTTTCATGCGGCAGGAGATGAATATATGTTAGATGGGTGAGTCTAAAAAATATACCAGCTCAACACAGGCTATGCAGCAGCAGGAATGAGAACAAATATGTGTCATGGAGGAAATCTGTAGGCCCTACGTTTTCATTTCATAATGAATGGGTAAATAAATACCTGTGCGATTTATCATATGGATCATATCCATTTAATGCTTGAACACATGATCAGTAACGTTAAAAACATTTTGCACAGTCTTTGCATGACAATCTAAATCCCCTTGTTTACCACTGAGAACTATCCCTGTAGGCTATCCTAATTTAAAATGTTTTATCATAGCGTGGCTTCACTAATGACATTTTGCAAAGGCTACATGACATTTCATCTCATATGTCATAAATTTAAACATACACGCATGTGTTGTGCCATTTAATCCCGAGTTGACGGTATAAACTCTTTGCAGGTATTCAACTGTAGCGTAAATGTTCAAAATGATCGGAAACCATAGAGGTTTTTTTTAAAGAATTTCGAAATTAGCCTTGCAAATTGCCCGGAGCCAAATTTCACAAGTCAGCTATTTCCAGTCGGTGTGTTTTTGTGAACGAACCCGTCTCGCCCAACGACAGATTAAACAAGAAGATAGTCAGGTAAATATGTGACAAGTCATTTTAGCATCAGTGAAAAACGAATATTTTGTTCTGTACATTTACAATATGTGTGTTGTTAACATTTTGGCAATTTATACGTTCGGTCACGATTAGCTAGCAAGCTAACATTAGCCACATAATTTCCTGAATGAAGCTAACTTTAGCTAGCTGACAGATTATTGCAGCATATATTGGTTTAATGTCAATTGACATCGACTTGCTTAGTATTTTACTGATATCTTCCGTTAAAAACAGCCCATTGGGGTTTGAGTTAGTTTGTCTTAACAGTAGTAAAGCAGTAAGTTAGTCGCTAATCAATAAGTTATCGTTGTCCATATTTAAAAAACACACATCCTCATCATTTCCCCCCTGTGACTGGGCTGACTGCTGTAACGTTACTTTCTTCAGGTCTACTCATGGAGTTTGCAGAGTTGATAAAGACACCCAGGGTGGATGGCGTTGTCCTACATCGGCCTTTCATGCCCACGGTGGAGGGGACCCTGTGTCTGACTGGGCATCACCTGATTCTCTCCTCCAGACAGGACAACACAGAGGAACTGTGGCTGCTTCACTCAAACATTGACTCTATAGAGAAGAGGTGATGAGCTTCTTATCGATTGCTTTATCAACACTTGTTTTCTTAATCGTTTTGCAGGCAATGTCTCTGTGAAATTGCAGTTTCATTAGTTGCATCCAAAAAGACAGTGACACGTGTAAATGGGACATAGATATTTTTGCATTGTATGACCACTTTGTTAAAACCCATTATGAAAGCAGAGGCAGATCCGCAGGGCATGTATTTGGTGAAATAATTTTGGACAAGGAAGGAAACACAGAGTGAAAGTAGAGTTGTATTTGACTGTGGTTTCATCTGTCTTTTCAGTGAAACTCTTGTTATAGCATGCACCAGAGCTGAGCACATTTTTCTTCTTGTGTTACCCTTACACTAGACTTGTACAGTGAAGAGAGGATCTGAAACTGTGGCAGTACGTTTGAGTCTGACTGTGTGCGATCCCTACAGCGTTTCCCACAGGTTGAGAATTTATTTTGTGCGGTTGAGAAGGATGGGGAGCTGTAAACAGCATTGAGGATTAAACCTTGGCAAGTAAACTAATGATTGCACATGAATGCACTATCCTGCCACCCATATTTGATTAATCAGCACTTTTGGCTGCACCTTCATGCAGGCTTTTAGAAAAGATGAAATCCAACAACTCTAAAACAAAACATGTAAGGAGAACTCTTTTTGGGTGCAACTTTTGCCATGCTTTCCACAACTCCCCATCATATGAGATACATGGGGAGATTAAATCGCATTCTCGCTGCGAGGCATCAGTACCAGCATTGTTGAGCCTCTGTGTTTTTTCCATGGAAGCTGCTGTGCTCAGCTTTTGAATAAAATCTTTGACTTCTCTTTCAGATTTGTGGGACCTCTGGGAAGCATCATAGTCAAATGCAAAGACCTGAGGGTGATCCAGCTTGATGTCCCTGGCATGGAGGAATGTCTGAACATTACTAGTTCCATTGAGGTAAAACTGATTACTTTCAACTGCAAAATGTTTACTTTTACTAACTGAAAAGTTTTCCTATTTATTTATTAAATTTTTTTTATGCCAAATGAAATTCTACCTGCGGTTACCCAATACATATTCTTCATTGCTCTCTAGGCTCTCTCCACTCTTGATTCAGTCTCCCTGATGTATCCTTTCTTCTACCGGCCCATGTTTGAAGTCATAGAAGATGGCTGGAAAACATTTCTTCCCGAGGATGCCTTTAAAGATTTGGAGTCTATGGTATGGACGTGACTAGTGACAAAAACGTTCATACCCAACATGCTCTCAGCCCTCTTTTAACCTGTCATCATCTCTTTTATCAGACAGATGAGTGGAGACTGAGCGAAGTCAACAAGGACTTCAGTGTGTGTCCATCATACCCGCCTTTAGTGGCAGTGCCCAAAGATGTTGATGATGACACACTGAGGAAAGTAGCTACCTTCCGTCACGGCGGTCGTTTTCCAGTACTTAGCTACTACCACAAGAAGAATGGCATGGTGAGCACAAAAAAATATATATATTCTTTTTAAATTGTGTAATGGCTGTTTTTATCATAAGATTACACTGTCTTAAGCATGGTTTAGTTTTAATTGTATGGAGTGTTTTTAGAAAATTGCCTCATATCACTTCCACTTTCAGGTGATGATGCGGTCAGGGCAGCCTCTGACAGGCACCAACGGGCGACGGTGTAAGGAAGACGAGAAGCTGATCAACGCCACCCTGCGGCCAGGCAAACGTGGCTACATCATTGACACGCGCACCATCAGCGTTGCCCAGCAAGCCAAGGCTAGAGGTGGAGGATTTGAGTCTGAGGCTAACTACCCCCAGTGGAGGAGGATCCACAAGGCAATCGAAAGGTGAGTGGTCAGTAAAGCGGTGCAGTGGCTCCATATATCTTGCAGCTTTTCATAAAATACATATTGTTAAGAGGACTCTTTGGATAGATTGTGAGACTGATCTACATGTCAAAAACTGTTTAACTGTTCAACATGTATTTTGTATGGCTGAAATTTATATTAAATATACTGCATATGAACTAATCTATGATAAATGTGTGATTTCCAGGTCTAATGTCCTCCAGGAGAGCCTGATAAAGCTCGTAGAGGCATGTAACGACCAGTCGCACAGTATGGACCGCTGGTTAAGCAAGTTAGAAGCTTCCAGCTGGCAGACTCATGTCAAGGAGATCCTTACCACTGCCTGCCTGGCTGCCCAGTGTATCGACAGGTCAGGGAACAAAGTTTGCTTGTTAAAACTAATCCTGGGCCAGTAAATACTAAGCAATATAAGCAATACCTTTGCAATTCATCTGCTGTGTACATTCAGAATTGAGAAAATTTTCAGTAATGAATCTGTGTTACTTACCATAATCATGTGTGTTCGTCTCAGGGAGGGAGCATCAGTGCTCGTTCACGGCACAGAGGGGGCAGACTCCACCCTGCAGGTGACCTCCTTGGCTCAGATTATCCTTGATCCGGCCTGCAGGACCATCAGAGGCTTCCAGGGCCTGGTGGAGCGAGAGTGGCTCCAGGTAAGTTTATCTGACCTTTTCAAACACAGCCAAAATCTTTTTTTTACTTTTTTTAAAAAATTGGATATAAAAGAATATCTTGTTTTAAAGCTTGAAATTACATGTTGTTTTTTTACATACAGTTTGGGGTTTATATGTCTTACTAGAAGTAATCACGTCCATTTTAATATCATCATAGACATCATGGTCTTTGCATTTCTCCTCATGACCCATCTCACCTCTTTTACCACCTATCCCAGGCAGGCCACCCTTTCCAGCAGCGCTGCGCCCAGTCGGCCTACTCCAACAGCAAGCCCCGACAAGAGGCCCCCGTCTTCCTGCTCTTCTTGGACTGTGTGTGGCAGATCCTACGCCAGTTTCCATGCTCCTTCGAATTCAGCGAGGGCTTCCTGGTGCTGCTCTTTGAACACGCCTATGCTTCTCAGTTTGGAACCTTCTTGGGCAACAGTACAGCTGAGAGGTAAGTCTGTTCAGGTTGGCACACCAGCTTATGTCAGCCATATGCTTATTGATTTTGATTAGCGAGGGTGTGTAATACACACCACACCTGCATAGTTTAATGCAATCAAATACAACAGCCATACAGTCAGTGTTTATAAGAGTGAAATTACTGCATGTAGGCCATTAGTGTGGTAATGTCCTCTTCATGACATTGATGTAAAGAGTATTTTATGGAGCCTTTCCTTCACATTCTTGAGCTACTGGCCACTAAGCAGCTTTACTAAAACAGTTGTGGATTAGGTGACTTTCCCAAAGTCAAATCTAAAGTTTTCATTAACTGAATATTTTCACCAACGTCAATGTCAACATCCCGAGATGTGTCATTTTACAGTTTACAAGCCCACTTTGACAAACTGTAGGAAACCACTGTTCTGATTGGTTGCCCTAACACCCTCTCCCCCTTTCTGTAGGGCCAAACTGTCGCTCCCTGAGAAGACCGTGTCCCTTTGGTCGTGGGTGAATCGGCCCCAAGAACTGGAGCGTCTGAGCAACCCGCTCTATGAGGCCAACAGTCTTGTGATCTGGCCCTCCGTGGCCCCTCAGAGTCTGCTGCTGTGGGAAGGTAAGGAACCAACACAAAAGGCATGCAGAGATTATATACTGCAGGTGACCTAAGAGGTTCTGTCTATTGAAGGGATGGTAACATCAGTCTGTTCCATGTGTACCCTGCAATAAACAAGTGTGTCTCAACACTAAATTTATTTTATAAGGCAGCCATATTGGGTTTGTGTTACACTATGAAACGCAAACCGTCTTTTATGTATGTACTGCAAGATTTATTGGTAAATGTGTGCCAAAGCAGACCGGGAGTAGGCTTGTTTGACACAGAAAGGCTGCATAGGGGTGCATCAACCAGTAGGACCACAGCATGACACGTGTTTCACAGCAGTCTTTTGGTTTATTCTTGGACTGAAGATGGGCCTGAAACCAAGTGTGAGCCTAAAACGGTTGTTAGCCATGGCTGGGAAAACCACTGTGATCTTAAAATGGCTCATTGTCCCATCAGGGTTACGTTTCTGCTCAAACAGACACTCTGAAATCTCACCAGAAGGGGGCGCAATTGATTCCACCATTTGCCTCACTGATAAACTGAGTGACCCTGTGAGCCAATTGTAAGAACTGCAACATACATATTTGGTCCTCATTTACTTTCGGTTGTATGTTCAAAGTTACAAACATAAATGCAGGCATGCATACACATTTTACGCAGATTTGCCCCATGTCCAATTACATGACTTCTGACATTTTAAGGACTGGAAATACCTCTCTGTGTGAAAATAAACATTTAGTAAATCTCTACAAATTGTTGTATCGTACAAACATAACAAGCTGTGACAAATAAAGAGTATATGAATGATAATATGCACTAATTTGTCTCTCAGCACCTTTTACATTTTCAACATGGCTCTGGTTGCTTCTCTGGCATATCTATGATGTGTTTGACTTGCACGTTTGTCTTATTATAGGTTGCACTTAAGGTAACCTTACTGATACTTGAGCCAGTGATGGTTTACTACTAGTTATCAGTTACCAGTTGTATGTATGCTAATCCTAGTCCTGTGGCACACTTTTGTACTTGACTGTAGCAACAGTCTCAGTTCATTTATAAATTTAAGCCTTAAATTGCACCACATAATATCAATTAGTATGACAAAATGACTTGTTAACTGATGTCAGAATATCACAGCGTAATCACTTCTTTTGATCTCATTAAGAAGTCTAATTCTTCCACTTTATTACTTTGAAATAAACTTTGTTTCAAAGCACCAAATGGTGAGAAACAAAATGAGCAGTCATACAGTGATAGTTCCATGATGCTTAGAGAAAATCTGAGTGGGTGAATGCTCTTCCCTCCCTCAGTAACAGCGTGAGACTGAGATTGTTTCAGGCTGCTGTCTTTTCTAAGCAGAGCAAGAGTTTTCTTGTGATTTATCAACATTGTAAATCAAGGATTGCATATAATTAATTAGATTTCACCTTAAGCATGAACTGCAGGAAATACGTTTTCCAACATTTCATGGCCTCAGAGATGTGATGTGAAGTCATTCAGTGCAACAAATAAGTCAAAATGAGTTTCTTACGGTAACTTTGTTTTGTGGAATTTTTTTAAATGAAAAGAATTCAGTGAATTTGAATAATTGTGCGTTCATTGATTCCAGAAAAGTCCTAGGAGCGTCTATGCTTGAATTTACTGAATCTCGAATCAACTCACAGCAAAGCAAGCTATTCATAAAAGAGAGAGAGGGCGTCCAGACAGATGAGAGCGGGGTCGTTAGGTTCAGTCGATCCTGTGTGAAGGGGGGCCCCCCAGCCCACCTAAAGCCTTAGAGTCACTACCTCCACTCTATATAAACTGGAATGTATGAGAACTACTGAACCACGCAAAATGCAACAGACATCCTGCTTACGCAACTCTTTCATAGAGGCTGATGCACGCTCCGCTGCCAAGTTAAAAGTCAGAGTCAGATACGTGACATTGTAGCCATATGGATGCACAGTAAATCTCTGTTATGCCACACTTGCTGTCTCATTATGACCGACAAGTCACCTCTTTAATGTGTTGTACATTCCAGCACATTGTGTTTCCAGTATGTGTGATTCCGCAAGACACCCACCTACCATCGTAGAGTAAGTGTAGGAAGAGTAAGGAACCTTTATGTGTTTTTATTACTTTCAGTGCCAAAAACACCAAATCATGATGGTGGACATGGTAAATGTAATACCTGCTAAACATCAGCTCAATTCATCAGATCAGTTTAAAATGCTGACCTTGGTGTTTAACTGAAAGCACCGCTGGGCCTGTCACAGAGCCACTAGTAGGACAGTACGCTCTTTTGTTCTTTATAGATGTACTCACAGTGCTCTCCCCCTTTTCTATTACAGGAGTGTTTCTTCGCTGGAACCGCTCCTCCAAATGTCTGGACGAGGCGTACGAGGAAATGGTACATATAATTGAATATAACAAGGAGCTTCAGAACAAAGTAAACACCCTGCGCAGGCAGCTGGCTCAGCTGGAAACTGAAGACCCTCTGCTGCAGACACCATAGAAACAAAGAGAGAGCGAGAGTGAGAGAGAGCTGCGAAAGGAAGCGAGATGGGAGAAAGAGAAAGAGAGAAAATGTGAAAAAATAACTTAATCCAAAAAAACAGATCAATGTCAGCCGCTTTTAAGCTTCTGTTAGGTATAAATTCTTTTCAGATGTTTGAGAATACATAATCCAAATAATTATATTTATGGATTTTATTTTATTTTATTTTTTGGTTTCCCGCGCAGATGAAACATAAATAGAATGGCCCTAAACCTAGATTCATTTAAATATCAACCTCTGTTTAGTTTTGTATTCATGCAGTTATCTTTCACACAGTTTACATGACTGAATGGACTGAGAGAGTTCCCTGAAGGAGGGAAAACATACCATTTTACTAGGAGAATTCATCAGGAGTGAGAGGGAAAGATTCAGAAACCAAAAGGAACAAAGCCAGCCAGTTACTTTTCAGAGTGCTGCTAAAAGCCAAACACTCATCATCTCATTGTCGTCCACTATAGAGCTGAAACAATTGGTCGATTGATCAATTAGTAGATCATCAAAATAAAATGGGGCAACTGTTTAGATAGTTGATTATTCATTTCAGTCATTGTTTAAAGCATCCACTGGTTTCAGTTTCTAAAATGAGTTTATCAAAAATCTTTTAGTTTGATGACAGTTGGTCAGGACAAGTCACAGTGTTTAGACATTTCATAGACTTTTTTATAGATTCATTGATTAAGCTAATAAAGGTTATATATAAATATTTGTTAATTGCATCCCCACTCTAACATTAGCGTGCCTGCAAAGTTTCAGTTCCATAAATTATGCTTTGGCTTGACAGCTAATTTCACAGTTGCTAAGCCTCGTCACACCCCCGCGTCTCACACTTGCTGACTCTCATTTACATACACCGATATCTACTAATTCAGTGAGCGAGTCCACTTCCCGCTTCCCAGTGTGTTTTAATAGATTCCTATTAACTGTTGGGCATTGGTCTTGTCCAGGACGGAATATAGACCTTCTGATGCTTGTTTACTACATGGTACGCGTTTCACCAAACGTCCTGCTGAATGTATGTGCCACTGAAGCACTGCAGAGTAACTATGGCAACATATAGGGTGCTATATGGCAGCATGTGACTTTGCTGCACGTTGAGATGATATAATAAGCGTAGGTAGTGCCAGCACCTACTGTACTGTACTGTAGAATGAGATAGGAGGCTTGTTTAATAGGGACCGACCAAAATATCCTGATTCTTGTATCAGACTGGGCATTCCAGTGAAGTAGCATGGCCAGAGGTGTCGATCACATGGAGGTTTGTCTGCTTAAAAAATGAGAATATAATATTAACGTGAGATATTGCTTTAAAGAAAAGTTTATATCTTGAAAGGTTCTATAACAATTGCTGTGTTCAAGTACATATTAAACAAGCTGTCTTGTGCTGTGTTGTAGTTTAAGATCCCAAACTACGGCACATTGTATGAAGGGCATATCCAATATCAGAAACATGCTCTTTTAATTATAGTTCTTGCAATTAGCATAATTTTTAATGTTGGCACTCACCAGCTGGTGCCATATCAGACAATAAATGTCTTAATATTACATGTGAAATGCCAATATATCCAACTCATGTAAACTCAAACTAGTAGACTCACTGCTGACGATGCAATGTGTCAGTGTCCTGCGTCCAGAGTAATCATTTTCTCACCACAGCAAGTCCATGACCAGGAAAGACAGAAATATTGTTTGGGATTCTTCTAAACCTGTAATTGCAGCCTGTCTTTAAAGATGCATCTAAACACATTTAAAACAACATGAGCTGAATTCTCTTATCATAGTGACATTAAAGCTCATCTTTCAGTGCTGTCCATGGGTGAGCTTACATTAATACTATTAATGAGGTTTTATGCTGCACTTTAAATCCAAAACAGAATGGCAGTTTTGGGTGTAAAATTAAATCCACAGTCTTCATCCTTGGCTAATTTTGTTTGGTTTGCTCCTTTTTTCCCATGACATCTTCACATTTGATACATTTTGCTTCATGAATGATGTAATTATCACACTAAACAGAACTGATTCCAGCCACTACGTTAAACTGCTTTATAAAGGGAAAGTCGCTTATGGCTACACATTTCATTTCAGTGAATTCAATCAAGGTTATGGTGTGATTAAAAACTGTACATATTTCCTGTTTGCATTTTGCATAATGTTATCCTTAAATGATCGTTGCTGTGTCAAAGTCAACAAAACTCTAAAAGATTATCAGCACTGTGGACAAATAATGCTTTTTTGTCTGTTGTTGTTGTACTTGTCAGCTATATGCAGTGGCTTACTGCAAAAACAGTAAACATTTCAGTTCTTTTATCGCTGTTGATCTAATGTCTGTAAAGTTATATTTTGTTAAAAAGATGATTGTTTTTATGTTTTCAAGCCATTAAAAATTATAGCACAAAATATGTTTGTTTTGTTTTTTTATTCTTTGAGATTTGTTCTCACAGCAAGATGTTTGTTTTCTTTTAGTCATTCATTTTATCAGCTATAGATGCATTACTAGATTAATTTTGCTTAAGTATTAGTGTTATAGTACTAAACAGCTGCACTACTTGATATTTTTACATAAAAATGGATCAGATAACCATATGTCACGTGAAGGGTGTCGCTCGTAGTGACTAAAGCGCGATTTATACTTACGCGTTGGATCTACGTGCATAGCCATCCATTTATACTTCTGCGTCGTTTTGAGGAGGTGCACGTCAGGCTATGGCATACGGTACGGGGCTACGCAGAGGCTACGCCATCGATTCGATGCAGAAGTGCTATAAATCGTTCTTAAGCCACAGAATTTTCACCTGACTCTGTAGTTCCCTTCAGCTCTACGGAGCGTTTTAATGTCTTGCAGCACCATGTTTTGTGACCTGTCCAGCACCACATGGCACACAGACAAGTTAGCATTTAGTTTTAAAGAGCAAGATATACTATATAAATGAAACGCTTTTATAAGGTGATTATATGACAATGTTGTTTTTCCACTGCCCTAAGTGGCCAACAAAATCAATTATTCCTGCTTTAAAAGTAGTGATTTTTCAAAACAACAAATACTACAATGGTTTCACATAAAATATCTACATAATGTCTCATCCCATCGCCGGGGCCCAGGTCAAGGAGTGTGTTTCCACCATACTGACAGGTGACAGATTTCAATTTCCACATACCCTGTCCACATATGGCTTGTCCAAGGATTAGTAAACAGCACCTCAGCCACCTCATAAAATATGTTTCCATCGCTGTGACGAAAGGATCATCTGATGAAGTGGCTGGGGAATAAATAGCCTAGGATCAGCTGCTTCATTAATACATGTGATGGCAGCCAGTGTCTACAGTGCTACCATCCAACTGTCACTCTTCTCTCCATATTAATGTGGCCTTGGCTCTGTCACTACTCTGATTTCATGGCTCAAAGCGTTGCTTTGCTTAACACACGTGATGCCTTGAAAGGAACAATAGAGGACTCAGTGTGTCTAGTGAAATTGAGGGTTTGTAGTACTTTCTGGAGTAATACTATAGTATTGAATAATTTTACACACACATTAATGAATCCCTATTTAATTGGAACACATGCACACAGCCAGTCTAGGATGTCTATTGTCTACTTGAAGAAATGATGAATCATGTGCAGAGTTTTTTGTCTTTGCTGCCCAGATGTTCTCTGCCAGGGTTAGACCTCGCTTCTCCGTTACACACACATACACAGACACACAAAACAAAGCCAAAACGATGTCATCTCACAGTTATCAGGTATCGTTTTCCTCTCATGCTCTCTGGGAATGGGGAGTGGAGAACTTAGGTTATCTAAGTTCATCCACATACAGCACAATACGTCTGTGATTTTTGGAAATGGATGCCTTTCTTCAAGGAGATTTTGTTTTCAACAAAAGCTTGTTAGTTTACTTGTTTTGGAGCAAGTCATTACCTTCCCAGTGATGACAGGTGTGGGGGTGTGCACTCCTCCACCACTCATGTTTCAGCACAGGTCTCACTCCACCCAGAGACACCGTCAGCCTCTTTGGCCCTCCTATGTGTACTTCAAACAAACCTCAAAGTCAAACAGATTGCATGTACATAATCACATCATACCTTTCCCTTGATAAACATGAATGGATTCTGTCACATTCAAAGGAGAGAGACTAAAGAGTTCCACCACTCCCTTTCAATGCCAGGTCACAAAAACCTGCAGAGCAGCCACAATGCTTTGGTGCCATTTCAAGTTACAGTTGGCTAATCATTAAGTGTTTGATTACAAGGATGCATCAGGTTTATACTTTGCATTGCTTCATGTCTAGTCCAGCTATGTTTAAATTATTCACTGACTTGTCTCAGCTATGTGTCCCGGCCTTGTATATCTACAGTATAGACACGTGAGCTCATTTGGTCCTACTTGTAACCTTCCTGCTCTTGAGGACGTGTGGCACTTGTTGCTACACGATAATATTTTTAGAATGACTGCAGTTGCATAACACTGCAAGGGATTCCAGACAAATATCACAGCTAAACTAACATTCAGTGGCTATGTTACAGGAGATAAAATTTAAAAATAATTACTTTAAAGTCACTGACCCACCAGTGCATGAGTCATTAAAACCAGAATGTGTGGCCAAAGTTCAAACATGCTCAACTTTACTTTAAAAGTCCCAAAGATAACATTTACAGCAGGCTTTTGTGGGAACATGTATATAACGATGCATTAAGGCATCTAGAATATTTCCATTTAAGGAAATGGAGCACTGCCATAAAAAATATGCGTCATTTAAATATTAAATTCACTGTAAACATCATCCAGCTTCAATGAAGATACCATATAGTAGTATATTGTACTGTGAGACAGTGTGGGACCAGAGTGTTATTCCAACCTTAAACTTATTTAAGGGGAAAATGGCAAAACTGTATGTTAAGGGACAAAGGAAAATAGGAATTCATATGCTGGCGATACACCCAATTAAACACAGATTAACTCACAATTTCTACTTGAATATAGTTCCTAATATATTGGCGCTGAAATTATTTGTCAATTAATTAAGTCAACTGACAAAAAGTAGCAGTTTTAATAGTTCAAGAAATTTTTTAAGCAAGAATGCACTCCTTTGCTTTCAGCTTGTGAAATGTGGATATATGTTGGTTTTGTCATTCTTCTATTATAATAAACTGAATATATTTGTGTTTTAGAGGGTTGCTCAGACAAAAAATTTAAAAGGTATCTTAAATTTGGGCTCTGGGAAACTGAAGCACTATTAAATATGTTCTTACATTAAAAAGTACACAAAATGTACTTTTTAATGAAAATATTTATCATCATATATTTACCACTATTTTTGCATCCCTTATTATAAGGCTCAATCATTGATTAGGCTTAGATACTTTATTGATGCCTATGTCCCTCTGGATCAATAAAGAATCTATCCATCTATGCATCCATATCACATGGCTCCGTGGACGTCCGTGTGTGGAATCATTTTTTGGGGAGACAAAGCCTCAAAACCGCACTCGTGGCCTCTGATTTGAGCGGCAGTGAAAGGACGCAGCAATGGGGATTTTGCCACCGGGTAACGGTGACGCTCTGTGGGCGTGGTCTGTAAGGGTGGACCGCACCTCCGAGGCTCCACCAATCCGAGCGAAAGCCGGCTTCCCCTGACGCCAGATGGCCGCTGATATATAGCTTGAACATGCAGCTGATGCAACACAGGACCGAGATAACACCGGCAACACGTCAGAGCGCGGTATGCTATAGGATCAGCTCAAAGGAAGCAGCATCTCGTTCTCATAAAGCAAGTCAGACAGGAGTTGTGGCTGCTTATTAACCGGTGAGTAAACGATTCCGTTATCCCTTATATTTCCTGTATCAGTACTCCTATATAAAAACTGAAAAGTGTTTTTAAAACAGGGCTAATGTTTTATGCTCATTTATCAACATGTGCAATCCTGTAATTAATATGTCTATCCCGCCCACGTGCCGCCTCTTTAATTCTACAGGCTAATGTGCATTTTATAATGGCTTCATTGGTCTCCAGTTGCGACCCTCGCCCTTTTAATTAAAAAAAACTGGGGCCAAACCTCCCTTCTGAATTATATCAGGGTGCCAGTGTAACAGTGGCTTACTGAGCTCAGGCCGCGTGCCACGACGGCTTCACTCCGGCTCACTGGCCTGATTTCATTTGTCTGGGTTGCTGCGTCTCACAGAACCCCTTAAATACGACTCCTATTTCAAATAATATGCTGCTTATTCTCACTGATTCTGTAAAGCTTTTTAGACTGCTCACCTAAAAACCACAGTCCATGTGGAAACGCAGCCACACTAAACGGCGCATCAATTAAGGAACTAAATTATAGACATTTCTTAATGGATCCACCATGACGCGCCGCATCAGGTTCAGAAAGGGGGCAGCGCTGAGCTCCCCCAGTTACACAACTGGCTCACGTGTTCTTTTTTTTTTCTTTTTTTAAATATCTTTATTAAATTTCAAACAAGTCATAAAGTAGGCTACATAGCAATACAATAGATACGCTACACGTCTAAAGACCCACAATTATAAAATCAACACACAGAATGATTAAGACTTGCCTACACATTAATAAGGTGCTTACCCAACAGTAGAAAGTGCCTGGTGCTAAAGTGTCGCCGCTTGGGGGTCTCCTCTTTACCTGATCCCATGTTGACACAACAGTGACCAGCACATGTGAGGAGAGCAAAGGGTCAGGAGACGGAACAGGAGCACACGAGCTGCTCGCGCAAAATAGACAAATAAAACACTTGTTGATGCTTTATCTCTGATAGCCTATCCCTAATAATAATAATAATAATAATAGCCTAATAATAATATTTTTACTCTGGTGTTCAAGACAAAAGCTCTATTTCCTAAATTGATTTCTAAAATAATTTTAAAAAAGGTTCCAAAAATATTTCCAAATTGTGTCACAATGATGGTCGATCTTGGCACCGTTTTCGTCTGCTACTGTACGCCCTCTCTCGCTGATTGGCTCTCGTTGAAGGCAGGGCAGTATAAATACTCTTCAAGTTCCGTCTTCGTTCCTTTTTTGGGAAGCTCTCTCGGTAAGTTCACATTTTAAAATGATGCGTTGCGCAAAAGTCCAGGCTGATGAACAGATGAAGGAGCACACAGACGGGCTGCTTTTACCTTTTCAGCGCTGTAACGATGAGCTGCTTTCAGCGTGCTGCCTCAGCGTTAATCCGTTCTGTTGCCGTGTGGGTTACTGTAATTGCAATGCATGTGTAAAAACATAAGTAAAGTCCTATAAAGTTTTGTGAAAGTTATGTGAAGATAAAATGTTTGGCGTTGCTATGCGCTAGAGTGCTCCCTTGAGCCTATTTGGAAACAAAAGCAATCATTTGCATTTGAGCGAAGCCTACATGTCTTCCCCGACCATGTTCTGACGATTTATGCTGCCTTGTCGAAAAATGCCACCTTAGTGCAAATGGATAATCTAACTTTAACCCATGTGCATGCACTAAGCCGCTACGTAGCATCTCATAGGTGGCACACATATGAATAGTCTCCCTCAGTGCCAGTTTTGTCGCCCAGTAGCTACCCAGTGTGCCTGTCTCCTGGCGCCTGAGGTCTGGAGAGGAGCCCAAATGTCTTGACACAGGCCTTCATGCCTCTGCCAAAATAAAGAGTAGGCTACTGAAAGAGGCCACCAGGTGATGCCAGTAAAATAAACAGAAAATGTAGATCTAGAGTGGCTTTAGTAGATCGGAGGGATTCAATTCACGTAACATTTTGTGAGGGGGGGTTGACAGGCTGAATTCTGCTGGTGCCTGTGGTATTTGACACCCCGCATGTCATCCAAAAGCGTAAACACATTCTTTTCCTCCTCAGGTACCAGCATGCCTGTCATCAGAACCCTCAGCAAGGTGGCCAAGCAGGCCCTGCTCAGCACCCCGGGGTGCGGCTGCCAGCCTCTAACGGTGCTGTACGCAGCATCAGCTTCTCCCCTCGACAGGTGACGTCTGACGCCAGCTTCCACTCCGTGTCCTTCTCAGAAACAGACCACCCCAAGGTGCTCATTACAGGTAAGCAACGTCTGGGATTTTTTTGAATACTAAGATAACTCTTGGTAAACATAGTAGAACACAATCATTTTTCGCTATCCTCATTTTTATCATGCTTGCAGTTAAGATGAGGATTATGATGATAACTTGTGAGCTCATTCCAAATCTGCCCTGCAGGATTTCTTACAAGTTTGACAATGAAAGCAAAAAGGCATGACAGTTAAAAGCAAAGTGTAGGCAGCAAATGCTGTGACATTTTCCTCTATTATTTGTTCAGTCCCCACGAAATCCGCACGGATGAACATAAGCTGATTTATTTTGTGCAGTGTCCTCTGATAACTCTTTTCGGTCTCTCTCCATGTAACTCAGGTGGCCTGGGTCAGCTCGGGGTGGGGCTCGCCAAATTGTTGAGGTAAGATTTCTCATTCATCTGCGCGCAAATTACACCCTTGCCTGCAGATAAACAGCCAGTGGCCAAATGCACTGTAACGACGTGAGAACAGTTTCCGATACATTTTCACTTAGTAGGCTATAATGTCGGTGTCCTGCTTTACAGGAAGAGGTATGGAAAGAACAACGTCATTTTGTCTGACATCAGGAAACCTCCAAGCAACGTCTTCCACAGTGGTATGACAATTTCATACTGTATTAAAATATTGGAGTTCTGGAGCATTAAATTCATCAGATACTGACATAAGACTGATTTTTATATTGTGTCATTTTTACTTTTAAGACAGGTTTGTGTGTGGGGTGGGGGGAAATTATCTGATTACATTGCGTTCATTAGGCAAATGCTCTGTCCAAAAAACTTACAATAGTGCATAAAATCAAGGAATAAGACCTAGATCAAAATGTGTCATTTGTTTCATCACATCAGCAAGCACAATGTTGCGTTCCTGTGAGTGTAGCTGTGACTAATGCTCTTCAAAAATTCAGAGATTTGGCAACAAGGGTTGTAAATGTGTTACAAATGTACCTGGCTTTATTGACAAATGAGATCAACCATGAGTAGACAGCCTGTTTAGTAGTTGTTCATTCATTTATGCTAATCTGTCCTGAAAAAATGCTATTGAGAAATTACTCTGAGGAGCAAATACATGTAACAGGAAAGAAACGCACATTAAGAGCTGGTAAATTACTATTTGAAAACTGCTTCCATGAAAGGGGAAGGACAGAAACACTCTAGCTAGGTGTGGGCCCTGAAACAACATTCATTGCAGACTATTGCAGAACAATTTATAAAATCTTTACTCACCTTCTATCACCGCCAGGCCCCTTCATCTACTCAGACATTCTGGACTACAAGAACCTGCGGGAAATTGTGGTGAACAACCGTATCACTTGGCTGGTTCACTACAGCGCCCTGCTCAGTGCTGTTGGAGAGGCTAACGTGGCCCTAGCGCGCTCTGTTAACATAACCGGTAAGCCAATTAGTGACTTGCTTAACTTTTTCTTAGTGGGTCTAAAGATTGAGCCTTACATTTGTGAAAGCAACAACAATGGTTCCCTTGAGCGTAGGTGAAGTTTGGCATCCTCATGGTGTGGTTCTTTGTCTGTTTCTTAGGGCTTCACAACATCTTGGACATTGCAGCAGAGCACGGCCTGCGTCTTTTTGTCCCAAGCACCATCGGTGCCTTCGGCCCCACTTCTCCCCGCAACCCCACGCCAGATCTCTGTGTGCAGAGACCTCGCACCATCTATGGTGTCTCCAAAGTCCATGCTGAGCTGATGGGAGAGGTTAGATCTTTAGATTTCTTTCTTTTGCCTTTCCAAAACAATACCCCGCATAAACCAAACACTCCACTGGATGCACTGGCAGTTTAACATGACATTATTTTTCTCGTCCCATATTTAAATTGTTGCATTTTTAATGAAATTAACAATTGACTCCTTTATGTTCTTCAACAGTACTATCACCACCGTTACGGCCTGGACTTCCGCTGTCTCCGCTACCCAGGAATCATCTCTGCTGACTCCATGCCTGGGGGTGGCACAACAGGTGAGAGAGATGATACTCAAACCACAAGGTTTCAACTTTAATGGATGTCTATTTCTGTACCCATCAAGTCACATGTTTGTTATGTAACCCACTTAGTGCACAAGTCAGGTCTGGAATATCTACATAGTTTCACTTGCTGAACAGCTGCCACACCCTCCTCCATACCCACAATCTGTTGTTTGGAGATCTGAGTTTTTTTGTAACCGTAGTTTTGCTAAATATGTTTTAATTCACTTATTTCCCCATCGTTGACCGCCCCCCTTTCTGAAAATTTATATAAATATATATAGTTCATGGGTTGAAGGGTATATTTCACAATTGTCGTCATAATGTTTTTATTTCTGTCTCTGACCAGACTATGCCGTCCAGATCTTCCACGATGCAATCAAATCCGGCAAGTTTGAGTGCAACTTGAAACCCGACACACGGCTGCCCATGATGTACATTGACGACTGCCTGCGTGCAACGCTGGAGGTGATGGAGGCGCCAGCTGACACGCTGAGCATGAGGACCTACAACATCAACGCCATGAGCTTCACCCCCGAGGAGCTGTCCCAAGAGCTCCAGAAGCAGATGCCTGAGCTAGAGGTCACGTATGATGTTGACCATGTGCGACAGGCCATCGGTAAGTAACCCTTTTGGTTTTTGTTAATGTGCCACCTTGAAACTTTAGCTGAACACCGAATACTGTAGCCGTATAAATACAGGACAAATAGACATCTCTTGAGTCAGCCGCTTTAATGACCTCATCATTTATTATCTGTGACATGCTAAAAGTAGTATAACAGATATAAAGTCAATGTCAATAAACTGACTCCGTAATGTCAGTTACACACACGTATCTATTTAAAGTTGGCTATCATTAGCCACCATAAGCTACTGGTCATATCAGACTAAGTAAGGCAGAAGTGGCAAAACCCCTCAGTGTATTAAACTGAGCAAGTGTGCTTATTTTTCATGAATTTTATTTTTCATTTGTAAGAGGAATTTATTGTCTTTCAATGTAGCCCAGTCTTGCAGTAAGGTAAAGAGGCTATTGGCAAATAAAGATCTGTCGTTAGTAAAGCTCTGGGGAGGGAACTTTAATCACAAACCGATGTGAGTCTACATCACTCTTATCTGTTTCTTTCCAGCTGACAGTTGGCCAATGAACTTCGACGACTCCAACGCACGGAAGGACTGGGGCTGGAAGCACGATTATGATCTACCAGAGCTTGTCCAGACGATGCTGAACTTCTTTGGCACAGAAACGCGCATGGCTCGTGCTAACTGAGGGGGGGAGGGGTGCACAATATTTTTCCGATCATTCTTTGTAAATAATGTAAAAACTGAGTAAAGAGAATAGAGAAATGTGGCTGTACATATTCGTTCTCTCTCTGTCTCTATAAAATCAGAAGGCCTCTACTTGCCTGGCACAAGGCTACCATGTCTCCAGAATGTAAAGGTCAGTGCAGGGCTAGACAGTCCTGCCCCACTCCTGCCTATCTGCCCCTGCTTTGCAATCTTCCCCCCTTTCTCCTTGGAGGTTTGATGAGGAGCTGATTTCCGCAATATCAGGGATAACGACGTGGCCTGTGAAAACCTGTTTTGGTGAAAAAGAAGATGTCTTGCATGTTGATGAACTGCGCAAAATTCTGCAATTTTTTCTTTGCAAAAATTAATTTAACAAACTGAGAATGTTGCATTGTGTAATTGTTTCTACCAGCTTTTCTTTGGAAATCCAAATCGGTCAGGGTTTTGGTTTCTAAATTTCCAAGGATTTGTTAAAATTCAGGTATTCAGGGCCTAAAGCTCCTGGGGCTAAATCAAGTGACTTTGGATTGAGGGGTGTGCAAATGCACAAGTTGTATCCTTTGATGCGCTTTAGGCAGATTTTGTAACTTCAATTGTAAATTCAATACTGACCAGTAAATGAGTCTAATAATCTGTCTGGTGATTTCTGATACAGCGTGGCTGTATTCTGAGCCGTGTGGAGCAGTGATTCTTAAACAGTAGCTCTTCTGTTTATTCCATGTATCATTATTTATTCTGTCTGTTAAAATTTGGGAGCTCCATCCAGTGAAAGCATTTCTTAACACTCTTATTTCTAAGTGTTCTGTCGACTGTTTTTTTTTTTTTTTTTTTTTTTTTCCATCAACTCTGTGGGATTGTTTTCACACAAAAAGGAAATGTGGCACTGTATGCCATAGTTGGTGGTTTGTATTTCAACATTTTGTAAAAGAAATGCTGATATGGTTTACCGTGTGAAAGTCTTAGCAGGTTCTGTTCTTTCAATCACACCGAGCATTGGCAATAAAACCTTTTCCAAGTACCCTCTGCCTGTTTCTGTTGTCATTTTCACAATTTAATTTCTAACAAGTTCAGGTAGACTCTTATATAAACGAGCTACTGACAGTGTTACCTAGCGTGGTAATAAAGTAATCCTTTTGATATTAACTCTTAAGAGTTTTAAATGTGTTACATTTTAAAGAAATTCCTCTCATTTTGGATAAAGCAGCATAAAGGTGCCAAGCAGTCTTATTGGATCAAGAGTTATGCAAGTTGTGACTCATTAGATGGAAATCACACAGTATTGCTGGGAATGTGTAACCCACAGCAGATTAGATGCACCAGAGCATGCATTTAGTGATCTTGATGGTCATTGAGCTGATCTGTTGGAATCGTCAGGTTGAAACCGGCATTGTCCGATAGCAGAAATGAGAGAATCACTCGGGTTATGCTGTTCCAGTTCAACTTGTAAAAGTTTGAGCTTTTGCTGTGGGCAGCTAAGACCTGTAATGCAGGGGGAGACCAGGTATGGTTGAAACATGGGGAGAGTTGTAACAACACCAATTCCACCAATTAGAATAAGATAGGAGTCATGAGATCATTTCAGTATTTACCTACTTCCTTCCCCATCACACATGGTGGTTGTCAAGGTAGGAAACGGTTACAATCAGAATTTATAGAGAAAATAGTGATTTATTGACCAAGACTATATTTTGTTTAGTCTCTATACTATTGCAGATAAAATTGTTTGACTTTTATTAGATTAAAATGTAGTTTCTTAGGCAACATGTGCATTTTTACCCTGATCATTTTAAACCACTATGCTAATACCGCTAGTTAAACATTGGCTGACAGGGGTGGGGTGGGTTGTAACATCTAGGGACTTTGTTGATTATCATTTTTTACAGAGTGTCCAATGCAGTCTGGGCCCACCAAGCCCGCATTCCAGGGTTACAAGCATTCATTTGTCAGCTCTGTGACCCTTTCACATGTAGTTCACATGTTGGTGTATATATCAGGACCCGATCTTTTCCATACTCAGTCTCCACCGTGGAGAGGGCTGAAAAGAGTACCGGCAACTTGTGAGAAGTGCTGGTGCGCAAGAAAAAGCCCCAAGACGCCAAAGAGTGAAATGTCGAAGTGCTTGTACTGAGTACCGACAGTACTGGCCTACTTCAACACATTGTAGTAGTGTTTATTTAGTATACTGTTAAGTAAGTTTGTCCCGGTAGATAAATCTACACACACACACACACACACACACACACACACACACACGTCAGTCAGGCATAGTCTGTTACAGAGAGAGAGAAACATTGTTATTTTATATCACTACCTGTTTTTGAAGCATATCATGTAGTGTGGCATCCATTTTTGCTTCTTTTGTCTTATTGTTACAACTTACCCCAGCATGTGTAACCACCTACCCAGGTAGTGGGGCAGGTTGTAACAAAGGCACACCATGTATTTGATGTCAACTCATGAGGTCTGTGATATTCTTGCAAAGGATTGAATTGGTGCCATTTGTAGTGAACAAATGTGTACACTTTGTATTAAATGAGAACTCAACCCAAAAATTCAGTGAGTTGTAGTTGCTGAAGCAAGACGTGTTACAACCATACCTGTTCTCCCCTAATCCATAAATAACTGTGTCCAAACCAAAAGTGACACAAAGCATTATATTTACTTCAAGGACAAAGAGCTTGGGTTTGCGTCGTGGAAATTTGAGAAAGTGCATCCAGCTGTCTAGAACCCATTTTACTTGTCTTTCTCTGTCACTGTACAGTTGTAAATGTGCCCTTACTGCAATTTAACGTTAAAGCTTTAAACTTTGTCTTAATGCAGTTTTACAGTTAGACAGGTGACATTTGTGCCTCATCAAACTTAAATTCCAACCTTAAATGACTGTGTCGTTGAGTACAGACAAAATGACAATGCAGATTCAAATAATGTAGTGTGGACAGGCCGTGACAAATAACAGAATCTGTTGTTTTGCTGTCTTGCCATTTTTATTTCAGCGTGGAATGTAAAAACTGATATGTTTTAATACTGGATGTGGATGATCACTGAAGATGAATAACAATATTTATAGCAAATTTAGGGTAATTAAATCTTACCCTATACTCTATTCATGTGTATTGCAAAGTGAGTCAAACAGATGGTTCAAATGTTCTCCTGAGACTGTTATACACATTTATTTCCCCAAAATGATTTAGTACAGAGCAGTAGGGTTAATATTGCAAGCAAGCATATATACTGGTGAAAATATTTAAGGCATTGTCTAGTCAGTAAGCTCATAAAGTGACCCTAGATGTGAAAGGTGTCCTCCTCAGCACATCAATAAATGCAGTAAACCAAAGCTGCTGTATTTTCTTCACCAAATGGGATAATAAACCTAAACCCTGAGAACAGCAATGTCCTTCACTGCACGCTTGATAGCCTGTCTTCAATTTCTCTGTGTCAGTAACTGCAGCTGTTCCATGTGACCTCGTTTGGTTTTGTTCTGCAGTTGTGCCGCGGAGAGAAAAAAACACAGAGGGGAGGCAGAGTGCACCGAGAGATTCACTTCATTCAGCTGAAATTCAATATTAAGTGAGGTGAGGTGCATTTTCCATTTGGTCTCAATCAGGAGCCACTGAGACTGAAGAGCACGCAGGCTACAAACACTTCATTGTGAGCTCCCGTCAGTGATTAGCACCTCTCCTCTGTGAATGTGTGCCAATAAAACTGCAGGTGTGCTCTCTGGCTGGAATGAAAAAAATCATAATTTTCTCATTACAAACCCCAACAAACCGTCGGAAACTGTGTGCAGACCTTTTCACGCACCCTGTAACTCAAGCAGGAATGATTTCACACTGAGCGCACACCCAGCAGACGTTCTACAAATAATGTTATCTTTGTTTTCCTAAGATGTCATCTCTTGTATGACCAGGGGACAAAACAATGCTAACACCTCATGTAAATGAACCGTAAAGTACATTAACCCTACTTTGTAGCCTGAATGCAAAAGTATGTTTGTATGTATGTATCTTTGAATGCAAAATGCACACTTTATGTTTCATAAAGACAGATGAGACAACTAACAGGGATCCAAACAGGCCACACGAGTTGACTGTGATGGTAAATCCTGTTTAAGTAATTCTTCATGAGATTGTCTACTTTCAGGAGCTTGGAAGCAATGTTGAATTGCAAATGACAATCAATGTTTGCAGTGGATTTGAAATCCAAATATAACTTATTAGTTTTTCCTATCGCCTGGAACAGCGTGTCTTGTTGCTGACATTTAGGCACAAATGTGAGATGGTCTTGAAAGAACTGAGAGCACCCGGCTGCACCTGGCTGCAAAAACACCATAAATCATTACAACACATACATGCACATGTGCTAGCAAATGTAATGAATACAAGTAGGCCTGTTTCAGGGGCCAAATATTCCCACATACACATTTTGTTTTGCATTTGTGTGTGTGAATGTGACTGAATGTGTGTTTTCTCTCTCTAGTAAGGGAAACCTTGCCTCTTATGTAAGAACCCTCCCTGAGTGTTCACGCATACTTGCAGGCCCGCCTCCCACCGGCCAATCAGAGAGCTCCCTTGGTCGCCTGGGCCCCAGTGTTTTGTTCGTCATCGTGTAATAAGATTCAGACAGCGTGCAGCAGCTTAAGTGGGACCGGTGCAGAAAGTGAAGGACGAGACATAAAGAAGACTGGGGGAGGGAGCTCCTGGGCAGTGGGCCAAAAAACATAGCACTCATAGCCATGCAGCTGTTATTCCACAAGGAGACCTGTTGCCATGGCAATAGAGCCCAAGACCCCCCCACCACCCTCCTCCCACCCTCTAGCCTCCAGAGTCTATAATAACCTACTACTGTGCGTCACTCCCTCACAGTTACAGTACAGTTCTCTAAAGATCAACAGAAGTGGCAGGTGATCATCAAAAATGCCTAAACACTTTTGGCACTTACAGAGTTTTCATGCTTTTAATATCTTCTACTTCCTCTTTGGGTTTTCTTGTCTTCATGTTTTATGATTTTATGTTTTTACACTGCAAAAATAACTTCCTCTTGTGGGACAATAAAGAACTGAACTGTTATTTTTATGGCTTTCGCACCGCTCCAACAGTCTGGAACAGCCTATACTAAAATCAATGATGACTTTGGGGTCATGGTTGCAGTGATGAGCTCTACGATTCAATGATCCCTGAGCTATAAATTGTGAATGAAGTGTTTGACCTGATCTGACCTTTGCATTGTAGGTTCACATTATGAACGTGCATGCTGAAGCATTTTTCTTGTAATTTTAAATCAGGCCAGAATGGCTGTAACACAACAGGAAACAACCCCCCGCCCCCAACAAAACAGGAATGGCAAGATCAGGTGCAGTGACACCACAGAGTGCTATTTCAGCGTCTTTGTAGGACAACCTGGTAAACTGACAATATTCACTGTCGCTGGTCGTTTTTAGGCTTCTGACACTGTTACACAACCTCACCTTAATCCCCAGGTAGGCACTACCTCCAGGTAGAGGAGGTAGTAACTCTAACCACAGATTTGGGGTCAGATTAGAGCTTTACTCAGCTCAGCCTTGACCATTGTAAAAACAAATCGATGTCTGACTCTGGAACAGCAGATGATGATCTTGTTCATTTTAATCCCACGGATAAAGCTTTGTAATTAGGGCTGGACTGACAAGATTGTCAGTATCTTACCTTATATAGTGAATGTTTCACTTTAATGCTAACCAAAACTATTTACAGAATTGATGTATCAATGTATGTTATTTGAGATGGAGTGGCTGCCAATTTTCAGTACACTCCAACCCAGAAAAATAAAGTGATTATGTTGAACAACTAAACAAACAAGTTTAAGATTATGTGGGCAAGGATGGATTTAATATATTAGGGGCTTAAATTGTGCTTTTCTCTATTTTGTTTCTAATAGTGTTGACAAGACTTAGAGTTAGATTAGAAAAATAAAAAGTAAAAATAGATATGTCCAGTAGTGCTTATGTAGAGTGCTGCAGTATGGTACATACAATATGTTGCTGTACAGACCAGCAACGCCAAGATAAATATAATTGCATTTCAGAAGAGAACGTGTGTCACTGAGACCAGATTGGTGTCAGTTTCCAAGGGAGGAACTCTGAACTAATAACATGTTGAAGCATAATAATGTTGTAGTTTTTGCCTAAAGCTTTCACAATCACACTGTCACTGTTTTTCTATTTATTCTGTGTTTAACATTCATTTGAAATAAATTTTCCCTTTAAAAATTCAGATGGGAAAAAAGTTTACATAAGTTTAAAATATTGGCTCCTTTCCAAGGCAAACAACTCCTGAAGGTGACCCAAGTCAGACTTTGTTTTAAATCCTGGGCATGATTTCAAAGAACTAAGCTACAAACATCTCCTGGGACTCTAGCATGAATAAATATTATATCTATTTATTGGCCTTAAGCACACAAGAACTGAAAACACTGGGCTTATATCAAGACGAAGTTTTCTCCTTCTGATAGAGCTGATAAATGTTCCCAGAAAGCTTTTACAACCCATACGTAACTCAAGGACACTCAGTCCCAGCCACCACTCATAACTTCAAAGCAACCACCCATAACGTGGAGTCTGCAGTGTACTATTAGAGTGATTTTAGGCATTTACAACAAGTATAAGTGAGACCAAAGCAACCATCCAGTAACATCCTACAAACTATAGCTTCTGACTAATGCTTTGGTTACTGGTTGTTAGTATGTTGTCTTCTATGTTGATTACAAGTTGCATAACAGGACTTTAATATTCCTGTGGAATTCAGTTGGTTCACATCTCAGCTACAGCTGCTTACTGGTGGTTAAAGCTGCTGCCTGAATGTGTTTTTGTTTTGCAAAAGAGCTTTTAACAAACAAAACAAACACGTTAATACAGGACAAAATTACAGAGAACTTCTTTGTTCCTGTAATCTAAAGCTGCTCCTTAGCTCTTTGCACCATATCGAGGTGTTCGTGATCGCTTGTGGTTGTGAAATTTCTGTCAGAACAGGAAGGCTCCACACCAAAAAACTGCTGAAATGTGATCTTGCACAGCAGAGGCTTAGTTCATCACATGCATCAGTAAAAATATTACGACACTGGCTTCAAGTACTGTAGCAGAACACATTATGCAATGCTTTGATTGAGTAGGCACATCATACTGTACTTTAGTAAATCAGTAAATTAGTCTGCTGCTATCAGCTAATATTGGCTGATCACATACATGTATACATGTACAAATGTGAGTACATCTCTCACATTTTTTTAAATATTTATATATTATATCTTTTCATGTGACAACACTAAAGAACTGACACTTTGCTACAATGTAAAGTAGTGAGTACAGCTTGTATAACAGTGCTGTCTCCTCGAAATAACACATCACACGGCCATTAATGTCTAAACAGGTGGCAACAAAAGTGAATACACCCCTAAGTGAAAATGTCAACTTGGGCCCAATTAGCCACTTTCCCTCCTTGGTGTCATGTCACAAGTTCTCAGGTTTAAATGGGGAGCAGGTGTGTTAAATTTGGTGTTATCAATCTCACACTCCCTCATACTGGACACTGGACGTTCAAAATGGCACCTCATGGCAAAGAATCCTCTCTGAGGATCTGAAAAAAAAAGGAGTGGTTGCTCTACATAAAGATGGCCTAGACTATAAGAAGATTGCCAAGACCCTGAAACTGAGCTGCAGCACGGTGGCCAAGATCATACAGCGATTCAACAGGACAGGTTCCACTCAGAACAAGCTTCGCCATGGTCAACCAAAGAAGTTCAGTTCACATGCTCAGCATCAAATCTGGAGGTTGTCTTTGGGGAATAGACGTATGAGTGTTACCAGCATTGCTGCAGAGGTTGAAGGAGTGGGAAGTCAGCCTGTCAGTGCTCAGACCATACGCCGCACTCTGACTCAAATTGATCTGCATGGCTGTCGTCCCAGAAGGAAGCCTCTTTTAAAGATGATGCACAAGAAAGCCCACAAACAGTTTGCTGAAAACAAGCAGACTAAGGACATGGATTACTGGAACCATGTCCTGAGGTCTGATGAGACCAAGAAAAACTTATTTGGTTCAGATGGTGTCAAGCTTGTGTGGCGGCAACCAGGTGAGGAGTACAAAGACAAGTGTGTCTTGCCTACAGTCAAGCATGGTGGTGGGAGTGTCATGGTCTGGGGCTGCATGAGTGCTGCTGGCATTGGGGACCTACAGTTCACTGAGACAATCCATGAATGCCAACATGTAATGTGACAATGTGGCAGAGCATGATCCCCTCCCTTCGAACGACCGCAAACATACTTCCAGGATGACCACTGCCTAAACCCTATTGAGAATCTGTGGTCATCCTCAAACGGAAGGAGCGCAAGGTCTCTAACATCCACCAGCTCTGTGATGTTGTCATGGAGGAGTGGAAGAGGACTCCAGTGGCAACCTGTGAAGCTCTGGTGAACTCCATGCCCAAGTGGGTTAAGGCAGTGCTGGAAAATAATGGTGGCCACACAAAAAATTGACACTTTGGGCCCATTTAGGACATTTTCAAATATTTACAAAAATGCGAGGGGTGTTTTAACTTTCGTGAGATACAGTATTATACTTTATTGCAGTAAATAAATTTCTTTTAGTCTATATTTTAAAAATACTTTTTCTTGTCTCAAGAATAATATATATAGTGGTATTTGTGTTTATACATTCATTCATTTGTAAAATTATGTGTATAAAAAATAAATAAAAAATATTCCTAATATTTTTGGTACTAGCCATACTTTCTTTACACTGATATATTAGTATCAACTAAGAGATCCAGTATCAGTCGGGCTGCAGTCTTGGGTTCATTGAACCTGCGTGATCCTACACGCGTTTGTTTTATGCATAGAGTGTGGTTTTATGCTGCATGGCGGTGGCGCTCTCTGTTGGCGAAGAGAATCATTTGCAGTTATACGATAAAAATAACGATAATGTCAATAGTTAAAATGATGCAGAAAATTAATATGCTTTAATCCGTATAGAATACGACACATGAGATTTATATATATATTTTTTTTTACAAGCATTTACGACAAACAACTAGCGTGTTCACATAATGTATTCAGGCACTTTCTGGGAACCCTACTCGATCTTCGTCAAGCTGTTTAAGGACCACAGGATGTCCATGCTTGCTGAGCGTAAGTACATTTAGTCAAGAGTTTTAATGGTTATTTCCTAGCTTCTTTCAATGTAACAATATGCATTTATATGTTTTATGTTCGCAAAAAATCACCGCTACCAACTGCCAAAAGACTTTCTTCCGGAAACATTCAGTATTTCGTACTTGTTCAACAATTCGTAACATTAGCAATGCTAATGCTAACATTAGCATTAGCATGAACTACACCAGTCTGTAACACGTGTTTCGGTTTTCTCTTGTAATAACTGCGTGTAATTGTCCCAGCTCATATTTAGCGAAATGTATTGTCCTTAATGGCCGAACTTGTTTTATTTAACTGCAGTCTGTTTTTTTTGTAAATTTGTAAGCCGTGACAAGGTTCTCTCAGCATCGCTACTGCTCTGATTCCCGTAATGTTGACAGCTGGCTGTTGCTGTGTTGACATGCACATGACACGCCATTGTCCCGTTGTCCTGATTATTTTGTTGGTTGGTTATCGAGTAAATGGGGAGCCTGGTTCTACGTATTGGATTTATTAGAAACCTGATTTATTTGATAAAGTACAAACAGTATGTGGGTTTGAAATGTGTATATTTAAATGAACAAGACGCGAAACGGCATCACAGCGTACCAGCGGCGTGATGGGGCTGAATCTGATATCTATCTGTGTGTTAACAGTGGTTTTAGAGTAAACTATTACATTGTGCTGGATGACTGTAATGATGTTGCTGCTCTGTATCCAGCCCGGAGGAAACAGAAGTGGTCTGTTGACCCCAGGAACAGCGCCTGGAGTAAAGATGACTCCAAGTTTGGCCAGAAGATGCTGGAGCGAATGGGCTGGTCCAAAGGCAAGGTGAGTGCTAAGATGGATCTCTACTGTTTCAGGCAGGGCCAACAGTGGTAATTTCTTTAGAGGCTGGTAGTTGGTGAACTTGTCTTCACGTGTTATGTCTTCTCTTTTTCTGTAAAGGGCCTGGGCAGAAGTGAGCAAGGCTCCACTGACCATATCAAAGTAAAAGTTAAAAACAACAACTATGGTCTTGGAACCAGTGCCAGCTATGAGGTGAGCACATTTAACATTTGAATGTAATTCTGTTTTCAGTATTTCTGTTAATCCTGACACACTACTAAATACAAATAAGTCTATTTTTGAAGGTGATATTCCAGGAGAACCAAGAAAGAATGTAATAATAATAATAATAATCCTTATTTGTAGAGCACTTTTCAAAAACAAGTTACAAAGTTCTTTAACAAGTGTAAAAAAACAAAACAAAAAAAGTAATAATAATACCCATTTCAGTGCGCCAAAGTAATACACTAGTATTACAGTAATTTTTGTAAGGACTGATGCCACAGTTCAAGTTAATTATAATTAATGTTTACAAGTAACCTAATTTCAAAAATTTTTAATTCTGCTTTAAGTTGATTGCACACATTTTAAGCACAAATTATGAGCCATGCACAGCTGACACATTCACAGCTCAGTGGCCCATGGCAGAACTGTTGTAATCAACTACGTTCATCTTAGCTAGGTTACATAATAATAATAATAATAATAAACTAGAAACTAAGTGTACAAAATTATATTTATGTCCCACATTACTTTTGAAATCTTCTGAAACAATAATTATTGTCAAACAGAGTTCTTTGGGGTTCTGTTGTGTTAAGATCTGCTGTGTTCGCAGGATAACTGGATCGCCCACCAGGATGATTTCAATGAGCTTCTTGCTCAGCTGAACAACTGCCATGGTCAAAACAACCAACAACCCAGCACTGGTATGTACATACGGCAGCAATAAGATGTGCAGTCTGTCTTGTGTAATATACTGTTTACAAACTGGGTGAGAAATTATTTGTAGTGGTCGACTTCTTGGGGTGGTTGGGGTGGTACTGTTCAAAACAGTAGGGGGAGCTGCACTTCAACATTTAGGAGAGAAAACATGGATACAGCACTGTCATACAATAAACATCTTTATTATCACTGGGAAGCAGTTTAACATAAGTTAAATCGAGTTGGTAAAGAGGTGCAATGATACTGAACATCTTTCCATCTAATTTGTAACTATTTGTCTTTTTTTTATATCATCTTTATTCTCTATAGAAGCTCCACCAGAGGAGCAGAAAGGATTCAGCTTGGAGGAGAAGTCCAAGACATCCAGAAAGAGGGTCCATTACATGAAGTTCACAAAAGGTGGGTTTATCTTTTGGCAGCCGACAGATCTTTACAGCAGAGGGATAAACATGGTTCATAAAGGTGCTAATTGTGCACTTCTTCTCATTTCCAGAAGTCATTACATTGATACCATGCAAAGCTGTTTCTGTAGTAGCATTTCAAACTCACCCTAATACAGTACATAGTAAAAATTATCCCCTGAAAATGTATCTGCCTTTTTTAACTAAAATTGTTTCACAGCAACCGTGCACTGATTTAAGCTCAGCACCTATTTTTTGTTTGTTTTTGCAAGCAACAACTCAAGAGCGAGCCTCTGCTTTTTTTGTTTTCCACCTCTCACACAGTCCACACACACACAGAAAGCCTCCTTTTACCCCTGGTTGAGCCTTGTGCACTTGGCTCAGACCACAGATGCTGATCAGAGCTCTGTCAGCCTGTGCTGGGTCAGTTGCCCGGTCAGTGCTAGGGGAGGTTATTAATAACTCTTCCTTCTACTTTCATTACTCCTTTACACGTCAGGAAGTGAAGATTTGCCGGTCAAGGCCAGTACACTGATAGACATGAGGAGGACTTTAGTGTTCAGGACCAGTGGTTACAAAAGAATAACCTCTAGACCATGTTTTATTGCTGAGTCGCTTTACTTGAGCGTGGGGCATAGTTGAGTGATTACAGGCACAATTTTTTAATAAGATTGTCAGGTTTTACATTAGTAATGGTGTTTTGTGTTGGACTACACTTGCAATACCTAGCTGATATTAGTTCATACTGTTTTATTACAATAATTCTGCAAGTCCTTTTGTAAGACAGTAGTGCGAGCTCATCAAATACTACCATGTTTTAAAGTAATTAATCTTTTTTGTGATTGGGTTCAAATGTAGCTCATCTGGTCAGCATACATGGGAAAACAAAATATCTCAACTTTTGCCTCACCTGGAAGAGCCTTTTATATTTTACGTCATTCAATAGCAACTTCCTGTTTCCTGTTTGGGGCATCTGGCATGTCCATTTGCTGCCCCCCCCCCCCCCCCCCCAAAAAAAAACACCTCCCAGAGGCTTTGCGACCCATTAGATGACCCTGCCAGATAAAAAAAATAAAATAAAAAACGTGGCCTCGGTCTTGTCCCTCAGACCCCTTCCCCCTGTTTTTGTGATCTTACTGTGGCAGGAGCCAGAAAAAGACCTTGTCCCTGATGGGTCAGATGCACACTTAAGACATGAAGCACGGACATTAGGGGTGTGATGATGACTCTTGTTTTTCCGGATGCTCTGCTTTCCTGCCCTCAGTCTCTATGCATACTTTATTGAAGTCATATAACTCGGTATAACAGTGAATTTGTGCTCAAGTTCAGAGGAACTTTTGCCTTAGTTGGTGTCCTATGTTGTGCGTCTGTGAGAATCTGTTTGCTGCTTTGGTCATGAATGCATCCATGCTAAATGTCACTAAGGGCCTTTTCGAAACTGCTTGCTACACCCTATCCCTACCTACTTCGCCTCAGTTTGCGCGTTTATGCGGAGGGTCCGCCACATTGAGTGCCATCCGAAACCAACTAACACCCTTTGCTGCACGATGGGGGACCTTTCTTTCAATTTGAGAAGTTAGGCTGCATTGTGTTTAATAAAAAATGCTCTTTTCTGATAGACAGTACAACTGTTGTTTTCATTGAATCGTATTAATACGAAAATCTTCATCCAAAACTAAATAGCCAACGTTAAATGAGAATAATAGAACATGGCACAACAAGATACACAGGGGGATCATGTAACAAGCAACAAAGAAAAATAGTGAATTCTTTATACATTTTAGCTGTTTAAATTCTTCAGACTATATAATGCTTCAATGTAATGTTTGATTTCTTTTGAAATGTATGTGTGAATGTAGGCCTAATATTTTTTTAAATAAGAGGTTCAAATAGGCTTTTCTTTTACAATGAATATCAATCTTTTCATAAAAGAATATATTTCTTTTTTCGTAAATATCTAAAGTCCTAGTATAATATTTGAAATATAACCAAAATAATTTGGTTCCTGGACATACAAAAAATAAGTGACAAATGCTTTCAGTTTCATTATTGTAAAAAATACACTTTTCATCAACATCAATCCGGAATCTTAATAGCCTGCAACTGTTTATTTGATCCACGTTGCAGTGGTAACGTCAGATCCTATTTACGCTGGGGAGAGGGTATGTCGTCCGAAAGTAGACCGCTGTATTTATACACTACGCGGATTAGGGAGCTCGATTTGGCTGTGAGGGTGACTCTGACCAGAGTTCACTCCATGTCGGAGTGGAAGTGGCGAGGGTTTCGAAAAGGCACTAACTGTCCCCCAAACAGCCTCATTAACTCCTTGAAAAGGGCCGTAAATAATATCTTGCTCAAGAGTTTAGTATGTTGCCCAAGGACAATTCGTATGCCAGCTTGGGACTCGGTAGGCAGTACATGTCATTTCAACTGTCTTTGGTAACATAACACCTCTTTAACCTGTTTCTTCTCAAAGAGACGCAACCGTTGTCATGCAACAGAAGGCACGCTGGCACTACTTGTTTGTCCTTAAATGACATATTTGGCAACTTGAGAGTTGAGTGCTCCGCCTGCCTTAAGTGGTCTGACAGGCATAAACCAGTGAACTTTGACTGTGGAACTTTCGGTTTTGATGTTGAAGATGTTTAAATGTCAGAAATATCGGTGGTCCTCTCGCAGTGGTAGGCGACAGCTACAGGAAGTCTTACTTGAATTATTTGTTATTTTTTCTGTTGACTTTACCCTACTGTGTCCAGCTTGCGATCCGGATCAGCATGAACAACCAAAGAGGTACCTGGTAACATTTGACCTGCCACGCCTGTTTGCATGCTTCCACTGACTGCTCTTGATGTCAGCTCCCCTCCCTGTGAAGCTGTTGCCAAGTTAAGGCTTAGTAATAGATTTAGTGTTGCTAAGCCTGTTACATGGGAGGTTGACAAAATCAAATACTACTCCGCATAGCTCTGGATGTGCAGAGATCTTCTGAGAGCATGTGAAGGTCAACCATTGAATCTGACATTAAATACCTGATTTCATATCCAGTCAGATAAAAATATTGTAAGAGACTTTAAAAGAATATTATTTGCTTAGTCTAGAACCGGTTAGTAAACTAAAATACTAGTCTTGTCTAGTAATTTATTGATTGCCCTTGACATTAAATCTATACAATTGCAAAAATGTGGCCACCGCAGCATCTGAGAACCTTCCAAACATCTCCATCTCCGTGCAGGCCGCCTCCTTACACTCCTGCTTCTTTTTATTTTTTAATTTTATTGATATCCTGTTCAGGCCGGTTCCCTCACTACCAGCACTGAGGATTGATGGCCTTTGTTTGTGGGGAAAAGCACCAAAATCTCGGCTGCTTAGGTGCGGGGCCCACAGCATAAACCAGTAACCCAGTTTTAATTGCTGCCTCCATCTATCACCTGTCACGGCAGCAAGGGTGGTTGATGCAGAATTTAACTACAGCTCTCCCTCCGTTGCTCTGTGAGGCTGGCTTTATCGCCTTTGGGGTTTTAGCAAAACAGTTGTTTTTGCATTTTAGCTAGTAAGTGTTTGTAAATTTAAGGATTTTGAGAAAACATGACAGACCATGTAAACTACAGTATATTATTAAGCTAAAGAGCAGAGGGCCACAGATACCAAGTTGTGGTGTTCATATGTTCATTTAGAAACAGCACATCTCCCTCCTTATCCATGTTTCATACCAGTGACATTGATATGACTGGACACCATCAATCTTATTTTGCTTATTTAGTAATTTGTCAGATTTGTGTATTTCTCTGTGGACCCTCAGTGATTTGCCAGTCTGGTCTGACTAGTTATCTGTACTGACAGTTGTTGCCACGTCAACCATCCATTGTAACCAGCATGTGTTCACTAACACTTTCCATTGCACTTCAGCCACCGTTTGAATGTTTTAGGGAAAATTAGGGTTAAGTTCTTTTTTATCAGAATTTTTGACGGATACTTCCTCATCCAAACAGCAGAAAGGTCAGATTGGGCATAATTTTACATTTGACCCAAGTTCACTAGATGACGAACACCACAGCCCCCCTGCATTTCTTTTAGTTTTCAACATTCTTTCTTGGTTACATCTTAGACCTGCATGTGCAGTGACTTTCAAAGCCAAGAGTAGGGAAGATAGAGTTTTAAAAGCAATAAATAACCAAATGTTATCAGAGCCCCGCTGAAGGAAGAGGATGCAGCTGTACGAACAGGACCCGGGCTTGAGACAGACGACTGTGTGCTTCAGGAGTCTTTGAGGCCCACCTTAAAATGGGAATCCGGAGGCCTGGTGTGGCAGACGTTGTCGTCGGTTTATTTTTCTTTGCTGTTTTATCCCTGGAGCAAGAAGCAAACCACGCAAACCTCCCCTTTCTTTACTCAAGAGACCACCTCCCCTTACCTTCTACACACACACACACACACGCACACACACACACACACACACACACACACACTCATGCTGTAACTGTAAACATTACAGGTTGCCTTAGTAAAACAGTTTTCCTTAAGATGTCTGCATTTAAATTTATATTATCTTTTTGGGGGGGGGGTTTGGTGTGGGACGGTGTGTGTTAGGGAAAATGTGGTAGTTTTTGTTCACCTTTTGGTAAAGGTAAAAATGTGCTAGTATATGCCATCATCATTTTTTGTGATTGGCAATTTCTGTTTCATTTTATCCTGTTTAAATTAGCTTTGTTTCTATGCGCCAGAATAATGATCCCAGAAAACATACTTAGTCTTAAAGTGAGTTTTAACTTGCTGTGTGATTTATTTTTGTTTGTTTGTTTTTTTTAGGGAAGGATCTGTCCTCCCGTACTGAAACAGACCTTAACTGTATATTTGGGAAGAGAGGAAGATCTGCGAACGACCAAGAGCAGGTAAGAGATATGTAGATAATTATGATCCACAATTGTGGGGGGGTGGGGGGATCTGTCTTGCCTTAAAGGTAAGGCAGCAATTTCAACTGATTAAAAAAACTAAAATTTAAAAAAGCTTAGTTCCTTAGTTCTGTTGTGCGTTCAAGTGAAGTGTGATGGATTTTTGGGGTCTTTCACAGTCACAGAGTTTATGATCAGATGCACCCGTCTGTAAGGCTTTATTATCATGAGTAACACATAATATATGATTAAATTACATTAGTTCCAGTCAGTCAGTTTTATCATGTCAAAATGCAGTATATCCAGTCTGTAGAGAATATTCCAGGTGTACATGACTCTTTTTGCAGTGAAACAGTAGTTTTCCAAACTGGGAGGGCAGGTCTGTGATCTTCCTCAGCCCAGTCAATGTCAAGCGTGCCCTGGGGGGATGAGGTGGCGTACCTCTGGCCAGGTGGCTTTAGCTTATCTGCCTCTGTTTTGGTAATTAAGGATGACTACTGCTGCTGATGCCTCCATCACTCGCTGCAGTATCATGTGATCCTTCTGCTTCTACAGGGCCCAGCTCCTGAGCAGCCTGTGGCCTTAGATTAGCCATGTCACAGCATGCAGCTTTAACACCGCCAAAAGGCCACTGATGGCGGCAAGAGCACCTAAATCCAGTTAAAGGATTTGCACTCTTAGCCCCTACTCCTCTCTTTGCACTTCCTCTCTCTTCTCGTCTTCTGTCTTGGAGCGCTCACATCAGGTAGTTAGAATGCCAGCAGGCATTATTAAAGGCAATTCAAAATCCGGGTGAGGTGTGCAGAAATTGGAAATGATGACGCTTGCAAAAAAAGTTCTCTTTTTGCTCTTGGCGTTGATGGTTGGTCACTTCAAACGTCACTTTGCCATTTGGCGTTATGCTGGCTCTCATGCTTTAGAAACGTAGCTTAAAGGCTCAGACAGATGCAAGTAGCATTTCAGGCCCAGTAAGTTCATTTGGCTTGCTAATCAAATCAAAGCCCTACTTATTATTAAATTAACCTGTGTTTGGTCGCTTCCATTTTTTTGGTCTATTTAATTAGAGGAATGAAAAAAACAGCCCTTGAGTTATTATTGCTGTTTTCAGAAATTAAACATAGAAATTAAACACAAGTATCCGCTAACAAAATTTGGTGTGCACCAAATGTTGTTTAAATTTTTTTAAAATTATTTTTAAAAGGACTATAATTAAGTCACCCATTATCTTCCTCACTTAGTTGAAAATACTGACAAATAAAATCATTGGGTCAAATAAGTATTGCATGATTAAAATCACAATAATCCCACCAGTGTGATTTGAACATTTTTAGATATTAGATGTTTTGGATGCTAAAAGACTTGTGTATTTTAACTGTCGGATTAAAGAAGTGACACGAGCAGATGCAGAACGTCCATGTATTTTATTATGAATTAATAAATCTTTATTTTATAAACTGGTATTTTTGGTGTCACAAGTTCTGCTGACCCCATACAGAGCCAGAAGGACAATGACTAATGTAGTATTTGGACATAGAAAAGCCTCTTGCTGGCTTCCTCCGTTTATCTCAAGCATTTAGCTTGAAGAAATTGGCATCTTAAAATCCATAAATTGCAGGAGAAAAACATCCTCTATTCCCCTGCAGGTACTGAGCCATAGCATCACAATGGCTGCTGCTCCCTAGCTGATTAACATTGGAAATGCAAGCCATACACACCGTCATTTTCTCCCTAATCGTTTGGTTATGGGTTGCTATTTTTCAGCCAGGAGGGACACCATTGACCATATCGCAAACACTGAACACAATTACAATGGCTTCCCACGAGGCCTTGTGTTGAAGCCCAGTAACATCTGAGGTTGCTGAGAAGAGGTAAAGAGGGTGATGGACCAATCAAGCTCTGGGCATTGTGCGGGATCTCCTGTGAGTGTGTCCGTGGCCCTCGTTGCACCCTGATCAGTGCTTACAGGACTGTTACAGCACAAAATGCGCTCTACAATATACAGACAGGCAATAATCTCAAAACCCCAAAGAGTTGTATTCCAAAGCAGTGATATTAGGAGCTTTGGTTCAGCGGTGGAGGTGATTTGCACAAGTTTGCACATGCAGCCACCAGTCGCATTATCCCATATCTGAATCCTGACAAGGTGAGGCTGGGAGACTCAACCAAATCTGGATCGGCTCCTCCAGAACTGCCCTCCTTCCCGCTCATGAATCTTCCAGCACTTCACCCACCGCCCACTGCTGTGTCTCCAGCCTCCCTTCCACCAGTCCCCCACTGCTGGGGTTTTCCTTCCTCCCGCAGTGATGTGCTTCCTGCTCGCCTCTTATCGCTGCTCACAACGCTCCCTGAAACCAGACAGGCGGACACACACACTCGGCTGTCCCACATGCCTCTGTTCATCAAAAGCAGCACTGGATGTGTTCAAAAGACCACATGAGCGCATGAGACAGATTATTAACCCCTTCATATTAATTGGTTGTAAACAGTTTCAGCTGAACTGCTGTTGTTTAAATTATGGTTCGTTGTTACACCCTGTCCCATGAACAGAGGTGTGTTTTTAGATGACATCCAAATTTTTAAACATTTCACATTTTAATGTATGTATTTTCTATAAAACATAATTTTAAGTTGGAACTAAAATGATATTCTTTAAACAGCCACAATTGCACTTGAAAGCATGGGGGGGGGCTTTAAGACCATAAAGTCCAGGTCTGAACACTCAGTTATTGATTTCAATCATCAGATATCTGGTCAAATAATTTAATAATTAATAAGCCAGCATGCCAATGTCAACTTTAGATGTGACACTTCATCAGCGCTGAAGACAGATTTTAGACAATATTCAAAATGTTTTGAGGTTTAATACCCAGCCCCAAAAAAAAGATGGAGTATTGAGAACTAAAGCGTTAAAATCATAACAAGCGCATATCAACTCCTTCCTTCTTCGGGATGTGTGACACCTCAGGGATATTAAGCGCTAATATCAAACTTATCTTTTTAATCAGAACACATAAACCAATCCCATACAACTTTTCTCCATAAAGTCTGCTATTCTTTTAGATAGTTTAGCAAGCGCTGTGAGATAACTGTTGTTGTGATTTGGCGCTATATAAATAAAATTGAATAGAAAATTTAGTTTTTTTCACACTGTCATTTAGTGTGTCAATTCACTTATGTTTTAGCACTGAGGTCATAGTTAGTACTGGACTGCTTTATATTAAGAAGCATTTTCAATATGTCATGTATGAAAATAGGCAGGACAAATTAGAAACACTTCATATAAACATATTGCATCCCAGTACAACACAACAGCTAAATAAAACTTTACATTAACATTAAACATTAACCTTTAATATTAAAAACTTGGCAGTGGCGTATATGAAATTGCTAAAGATTTTGCAGCTGTACCTAATAAAGTGGCCACTGACGGTACGTGCCTGAATTAAACGTTCGTTACACTTAAAATACAAACTGTTAAGTATAAGATAAATTGATGACCTGCATTTCACCTTACCGTGTAGCCACCTAAAAATGTATGCTTAAAACCATTATTTACACTCCCTGACCTGTTAGGGTTATCAAGTTGTGGTGGAGCACCTGTCCATCTACATGGCTCTCTGTTATCCATCACCCATCCCACGCTCGCGAGCCCCCTCCATCTCCTGCCTCCTCTTGTGCACCTCAACACAATTACTCACGGCATGACAAACGACAGGCTCTCTCTGCCGAGATATCAAAAAGCCCCGGCCACTTCTAAATGAAGGCACTTTGGCAGCCCTGCGCTCCCTGTGCTTATCGGCGGGCGAGCAGTGCCCCTGGCCGTCCTAGCGTCCCCCTCTACTTCCCCCTCCTTCTCCACCACGGTGCCCTCCTCAGGGGGTTTAGTTAGGGGAGCCACATGGAGGGCCAGCCCGGCTTGATTTATCTCCCTTGCCCCTCTGCCCGGCCACTCAGGCAGGCCGAAAGAGCCGACGAGGCTCCAACGGGCCTCTGCTCGAAAGCCCGGCATTAGCTGAAATAAACCATTCTGCCGCCCAGTGAAAAATGTCCTCTGATTGGCTAATTAATCAGTCAAAGGGGAGCGACGCGGCTTGTGACTTGAGGGACCCAAGCGGGCGACCGCAGAGGGCCTGCTGATAAATAGACTCCCCGCCGATTCATACATCAACAAAAGTTAGTCATTTTTTAAAGCTGCCAGCTCAGATGAAAGGTGGAAACAAGCCGTGGTTTTATTTTTTCCACCTACATTATCTTCCACATTTCTATTTTTTTGGAGGGGGGGGTGGGTGAAAAAGACAAATCTATTTTATTGCTTCTTGTTTAGTTTTCTTACTTTTAAAGCTACATTTAAAATATATATATTTAAAATAGTTTATATCATGACTGCAGCGTGGCCATGCTTTTGATACTGACATTCATACTTTATCATTGTTATAAATGTTAGAATAAAATTAACTTCAATATATGTATTGTTTTTTCATTTTTCATTATCTCATCATTTTACATTTGATAAATGCAATCACTGAATTGAATATTCAGTTAACTGATTCAGCCTCTTAATCAGGACAATAAAAAATAACATCATTTTTGAAGTTTTACAGTGATTTCACTATTAGAAGCATCAATTTGTTACAATATCAACTTGTTCATTAGTTCTGTACTCCTTAAAAATATCAGGGAAGAAAAATGGTTGAGTGTAATTTGGTACAAGGCTTGTTTTGATGTCTGAACCCTCCAGTCAGACGGTCGGTATGGTGCACCCTGCTCTCGGGTCAGCATGACCCCTGCGGCCTCTCCCACTCCCACTCCCGCTCAGGCACAAAGGGCCGAGGATCAAGCCTCATCGGGTGGCACCTGTTGCAAGGTTTTCCTGCCCACGCGTCGTCCACATGAAGGATCGCACGTCAGCGGGGGCTCCCCCGATACCACCATCTTAAAGAATATGGGACAGGGGTGGAACGGGCTGGGGGCTCGGCTCGAGCGTTTGGCAGATGCGTCGG